TTTGAAAGATTTTTTTTTTCCGAAGTCTCTATTGTGGAGGCCCCCTGCTTGTGGAGGCCCCGGGGCTTTCGCCCCGGTTGCCCCCCACCTAAATCCGGCCCTGAACTTCATGCTTCGTTCAGATTGCCTTGTGAGAGTTTCAAAGTAAAAAACCGACTCTTTCATCCAGCTGTTAAACAAGGATCTCTTTACTCGATCAGTAGCACTTTACTTGCAGTTGCGAGGTTCATTATAATGATTTATTTCCATACATATGTAAAGTAATCTACGAAAAATGTGAATGTGTCTGACTAATAGTGTAGTGCTTTCGTTTGCTTTTCCGTGTCCGTATAACAAAGAAACACGAATACCAAATTCCTGCATCATGACTGCATTGAAATAATATGTTTGTAAGCAATAAACACTAAAAATCTTTTTGGAAAATTGAAGTAGGTATACTGTTACTTAGACAACACGGAGTCTAGTTATGGAGTTAGGTAATAAGTTAACTATCTATTAAATAGGACTCGTAACAGAACCTGTTAACGATTTGTATGCACTCCTGTCTTTTAAGGGTAAGAAAGTTGAAAAAAAGGTGGACATAATGTCGCTTAACTCGTCGAGTACCGTATTTATAGACACAATTAAAGAACAATAGGTTGCGGTCACCATATGATTGAAGCACCAAAATGACAGTTTTGTATTTATACGTGCATGTACTTGCAACACCGGTAATTTATGAAGTGTAATGACAGGTCATGTCACGTGGCAGATGCCCCTCGTGTCAATGTGTGTGTATTCTGCGTGTAAGTATATAGTAGCCAGTTGCCACAGTCGTTGTTTCCAGAGATTATGTCCGCATTTTTTAACGTTCTTTTAGGGTAAAAGATGTGATGGTCAGGACCGACACCTATGTCATGAAAATCATAAGCTAAGTTTGTAGACTACATACAAGACCACATAACTTTGTACTTACGTTTTTAAACGACTAAGTTTACGGTACTGGTATTCCGGCTTTGTGCTCTCGGTTACCGAACTTTTTAGTGGCACCTGCAACTTCTGAAGACTTCTATTATTTAGATACCTTTAAGATAAAATATGAGGTTATTGAACTTTAGAACTTTAATAACATAACATAACATAACATCACGCCTTTTATCCCCGAAGGGGTAGGCAGAGGTGCACATAGAAGTAACACCCACTTTTCACTATTTATGTTATGAGTCCCATGTAAAAGGGGGTGAGCCTATTGCCATATACCGGGCACATTTCCAGACTCCGTGCTACTACTGAGATTTTTAAAAAAACCCCAGTAATACTTTGCCCGACCCGGGAATCGAACCCGAGACCCCTTGCCCGGCAGTCGCACTTGCGACCACTCGGCCAATGAGGCAGTATACAGTATACAGTACAGTGAACTTTAATAAATTACTCATAATATTTATTAGGTACGCCTTTTTTCCGTAATGTTTGTTAGTTTCAATATTTTTGAGAATTTCAAAATCGATTTTTAATATTACGTAGGTAAGTACTTTGCTCGAGCCAGGATTCGCTCACCAAACATTAGGCTCAGTGGCTATCTACATCAATGTGTCATTACAACTATTTTAGGATCAAGTAGATGCTATATTAGTTATGTTAAAATTCAATTTAGAACCAGACTGTTTTTTTCTAAAGAAACATTGTAGAAATCTAATTTAACTGCACAAAAGGTTTCATAAGATATTTGACCGCGAAACAAATGAATTGCAACACAATTACCTACAGGTGGAATAAGTAGCTTATTGTATAGAACTTCAATCATAAAATTATTGACTTTGACATTCAATTGATTATTACTTCCTATCGTGTCTAAGCACTTATAACGGAACTGAACCTTGTAATAATTAAGAACTCTGGACGAGTTCAAAGTCTCTAGATTTAAAAAGTTTAGACTCCATTAGAAATGTAAATAGTGAACTATTTTAAATTTGGAACCTATGTATAAAAATATTATGGATTTGTTTATTTAGGGCCTTTGAGTCTGAGATCTTAGATGATTGGATGCCCTGAGCGTTTTGAATCTTCATTTTGCATCCTTAGGGAAAATCCGTAGACATGTTACTGCGAACAAAGAGCTCAAAGGCCTACAATTAGGTTTAATACGACCGTACAATTGTACTTAGAACCTTATCGAACCTATTTTCAGCACTTATCTGAAACTAAGAGGATTTTGTTTCCTCGTCATGGTGCAATTGGTGATCATCTAGATGTTTGTCCTTACATAAATATTTTTTCTGTCTTTAGAAAAATCATTTTTTTCCTTTATTACAAATATTGTGGATTATTAAACCTATTCACTTTCTTTTCACTTTTATAGTACCAATTTGAGGAAAAGCTTCAAGTAGAAATGTAGTTTCTTATTACTATATACATAATAATTAGGTATGTAGTAAGTAATAGTAGAGATATGGTACTGCACAAGTTGGTTTGGATTAAACTTTCTTAATTGATAACAAGGTTTATATTTCTTCTTGTCCAATTTAATGTCGTAGACAGGGCCATCACCTTTTATTAGAAAGGCACCTACTTAAGTGTTTAATTAATTAACAACTAAGTACCTATACCTATCTAGTAAGTAAAAGGGATTCCCACAACAAAAGTTGTCAACCATATCATTAAATATTGTGATTTACCGACTTATTGTTTGTAACAATGAATGAAAAGATCGCACGTGCCTATTATTACATTGAAGATAATTATAATTAACACTTTATTTCAGCGCTTCAATAGTGATCAATCTCTGTAAGTAAGGCACCTTAATAATAATTGTCACTACGTTAAGTGGAATCACAAACCGTAACAGGGAAATTAAATGATTGCGAGATTGTTGTCAGTCTGCCATGCCATGAGGCAGTTTGTATAACGTCGTTGTCGAATGCGCTGGTTAGCTGGTTAAAAAGTTCGCAACGCAGGCGCGGTAGCCGGTAAAAAGGCGGGAATTTTTGCCGAACTGCATGAATATTTTTAATCTGTATTGTACATTTTTAAATTACGAATACATTTTTTATGGAATATTGCAAAATGGAATACAGTTTTTAGTGAAGTTTAGTGATCTTTATTTAGTTAAATAATAATTACTATTGGTGTTTCATAGTCAAAAGAAATATTCAAAGGTGAGTTAATTATTGCTTGATTATGTACCTAGTTTAGTTTCGAGTTAGATGATCATTGCGTTTTCCTGATAGGTGGATGAATAGGATAATTTGCGGAAGTGTAGTAATTTGTTGTTTGGAGTCAAAGGTCGCTCTGAGCGAACTGAGTGGACATTGTATTCAAATTAAGCTATAATGAGCCGTTAAGTAGGCGCTAGGCTTGTAAGATTGTACGTTAATCATAATAAATAATTATATATTTTGAAGCGCGCTTTTTAGTTCTAATAGTTTTTGCTTGATAGCGAAAACTTTGTTATCTTTTCAATACTATTGTTATTATTTTACTTCTAATACACTAATATTATTATTAGGTTATTACCTGAAGATTGAATAATTATGATAACGTCGTAAGTATCAGCTATTTTTCCACTTGTCTACAAGGGACATATAAGTTTCAAAAGTGAAATAAATTTATTTGTAGCTTATTGAAATTTAGAAACAATTTTATCCTATACTATGTACTTATACGTATTTTTTAAACTCTCTTATGTTTAACGCTTAACTCGGGAATCGAATCACGTTACAAGCCATATGATTATTTTTATCTTAGTTTTTTTTACTTCATTATTTAAATAAATACTATTATGTCTAGACCACACGGACCTTGATTATTATTGTGTGGAACTTAATAACAATAATTGTATACGCACGTTAATTATCAGTTTTTCCTTAAAAACCAAAATATAACAAAATCTATTATTGGCAAAGCATTTATATCTAAAGATATTCTTAACAATCTTAATCAGTATTTTTGGATTTGTGTAGATTGGATATCTATAAGATTTGGTTATTAATACTTTGTTCCGTAATTTCCCATAACTTTTTATCAACACGTATATTTGTAGACAGAAGCAAAACGCGTCGTGTGCAATTTGTGCAAGCAACAATTTGTCACTAGCCAACAAACTTTTGTTATGGAAAAATCATTGATGTAATCTTCTGATGATAATTTATTGACCGTGATAACGGTACTACAGAAGGCACCTTTTCCGTGTGAATGGGGGTTTTTAAAGTCGAAACAATAATTTAGCGATAGAAGTATGCGAAATTATGATAACAGAGATTGATTGCTCAAGTAGTCCATTATGGACACAGTATCGAGACATCGGATTATTATCTGATCCGATTACGATTATTTAATATATTTTCTTGCCCTCTCAGTAGATGAAACTGAACCTTAACAGTTAGTCGTATTTACAAAGGGGGTTCAAGTTCAATTCAAAGTTTCGATCTAAGGAATTTTTTTTGGTAAATTATTAAAATGGGACGAATTTTAAGACCTAGACGTTATTTGTAAGTTTCAAATTTTCATTATTGGATACCTAGGAGATCGGATACAAAGAACTATATTTTATAATATGACAAAGCCAGAAAGTATAGTAAGCGTGGGTTATATCGCTTTCTGAGATATTTTCTGATGATGACCCTTTGGATGGGCAGAAACAGGAAGTGTTATCACTAATGATCGCCAGCCCCATGATGGAGACTTTTTAAGTTTTAAAATAAATATAGTAGAGAAGTTTTCCCTGTTTACCTTATAAGTTCAGTCGTTGAAGTAGCCAATAAATTATCATTAATTCCATGAATAACCACATCCAACTCTTTGTTAAGAACTTTGTAGAATTTATAGAATAATTATTTTTGATTCAATATTGACAACATGTCAAGTAGTAGGAGAGAAAATAATTTATTAAGGTTATATTTGTATTAAGAAAACTAGCAAAGAATAATTAATTTGTACTTATATAATTAAGTACTTAAATATGATTACTAAGTAACTATAAAGAGCGTGTTATAAGTTAGTTTATATTATGTTGCAGTTCGAGAATGAAGCTAAAGTTACCGAGTCCGAAGAGATTGGTTTGCAGCGCGTTTCCTATACTGCGGTGGTCAAGGACTTACGACACAAGTTCAGCGGTAGGAGACTTAATAGCCGGTATTACAGTCGCCCTGACATTGGTACCGCAGTCGATTGCGTACGCATCGCTTGCCGGATTTGAACCTCAGGTACTGTATCAAGCTTGTTCAGTTAGCAAAATTTACGCTTGATTACTAGTAGCATCAATCGTTCTACTCGGATGAACACTCACTACGTCAAAGGCCTTGGCCAAGGTGACAGTGGGATTTATTGTGGGAAACTATGTTATATAAACGAGGTATATAAATAAGTTTTGTAACTGTTGTTAAAATATAAATAATGTTATAATAAACAAAACAACACCTGGGTACTTTACCAGGCTCAGGCTCAAAAATTTGTACATAAGAACACTCGAGCTCGGTAGGTATAGTTTTCTTGATATTTTCAGTCTGTAACTTTTTTAAATTACTTAGGCCGTAACCGTCGTAATGATAAACAAACAATTAAGTAAACAGTAATTAATGAGGTATAAGTGATTACAACTTGAGACTAAATTATCTCGGGGAAAAAGAAGTGGAAAAAATGTTCTATAATATTTCCTGTGGCCTTAAATTGTTTGGTGACCTTTAATAATATGGTTCTATGTTTTGTCTATTGTCACAGTGGAATTATGTGAAGTACTGGTAAACAATTGTTACGATATTTAGTATTCGCTTTGTATGATATATAGGCGTTTTATGGAAATTGTACCTACATTTTCTTGAGATAAAACGTAACATCACGTAGGTACCTACTATGTGTTTATTCAGACTACGATCTATTGAACTCGTCGAGTACCGGTTTTATAGACACAATTAAAGAACAATAGGTCGCGGTCACCGGTGACCGCTTGGTGTTTGACAGTTTAATCCAGATTTGGTAATAATACGAATGTTTAGTTGATATTAATAAATTAGTGTATGTAGGTACTTACCTTAGGTGTTAAGTTAATTGATCATGAGAGAGAATTTCATGGCAATGTCTTTGGAATTGAAGCTGGAGAAGTACATACATTTTTATTATGTAAGGACTATGGAGCGTAGTCGGTGACACGATGTGGATTTTCCCTCCCCAAGGGACAAAAACATGTGTTTAGTTTATGTGTTTACCAAGAAAGTTTCTAAATATAAACACAAGAAAAGAAAAGATAAAATCGTTGAATGTACTTAGCCGAGTGTCGTTCATTGATAACATCCGTTATTATACAATAATGCTGGCGGATAAATTATATTGTTGCTTCACCTCTTTAAAGGGTTCGGTACAAAAGATTCCACTTTATTTCTAACCTATTGCGTAAAATAAGGTTTATCTAAATAAGGTTACGGTATTGATCAATTTTCTTTTGTGAAAATACATTTCCAGCTTGATACCTATACTATTCTGAAAAGAGTTTAACTAAAGTAATAACTGTAGTAATAACTATACCTAATAATAGTAGGTACATCCACACTTCGTTGATTGTGTAACAGTTAACAGTTTCTGAGAATACAGATAACTACCAGGCTTAATCGTGAACTTGGTGCTGATTGAAAATCTTGTTTAAGACCTGAAAATTTCTATAAGTTCTCGATTAGAAAATCGGTCTCAAAACCATTTTTAGGACCTTTTAACAAACCAGGCACTATTTTAAAAAGTTTTTCATGTTCTACTGGAATCTGTGTAGAATTTTCTTGACTTCCTATAAACTCTATCCAGACTACAACATTTCTAATACGTATTTGCGGACGTCTCTGGCCTTGTAGCTCTCTCCCAGGGACGAAGTACTTACCTTTGCCTAGCTTTAGTCACCACGGTTGCGGTTCACTACCTTAGAGTAGTAATAAATGTACATTGTATATGCGAGAGAGAATTCTTGGATAGATTTGTAGCTTAAAATTTTGTGAAATCATTGTCCTGATAATGTTAATGAAAAGATAAGATATCCCGCAAATGAAGTAGGAATAATTACTGTATCATAAGGTCCTTAGATGTTTTGTTGATCTTTTGACTTTTTATACATTTTTCTCCGTAAATACGCTTTAACTGAAATACCTAGAGTTATAAATAAATACTTAAAGTTATCTAAATACCTACCTACCTCTAAAGTTTTAAACTATAAATTTTCATTATAATATTTCTTTTCATTTGTCAGATAGAGTTAAAATATACCTAACAAATGTTTTTGTCCACTGAAAGTAATTACAGTCTTGGTTTCGAATTCAAAATAAAGGAAAAAATATGTTGAACTTCAAGATATTTTAGTTTGAATTTGCTATGCAGGTGGCGTCTACGTGAATCTTAATCTTGGAATTATACATGCAGAGCCGAGCACCTAGTGGATATTAATATTTAAATTCCAAGCTGTGTGGTTTCATAGTGAGCTAGTTTAATTTCTAGTTTCTTTTATATTCTAGTTTTATTTTCGACTCAATGGACCGAGTTGTTATTCCAAAATGTACTGCAAAGTTAATATAATACTTTCTAATGTAGATAATACAATTACGTTTTTAAATTTCAAATAAACTAATTATTTAAGCATGTAAATGATATTCTTATCAATTATACTTACCATAAGTACCTTGCTATGTATAGACACGTATCTAAGTGTTTGTAATCGCAGCTAATGTAAAAGTTTTGTTATTACACTTGTAAGAAACAGATACTTTAGCCTACCTTCTCAATTCCCTGAAGTAATCCTCTATACGTTTCCGAGATTAATTACCACTCGACGCGAAATAAGTATCTTGTAATTTATGATACATAAAAACGTCCTTATAATAAATTACATGTGTAGGTACCGTAGATGTCCTACAATTATATAATAAAGATTATTGGGCAGAATAGTTACCAAGTAATCGATATTAAGCACTATAATTTTGTATTTTAGGTTTATACATGTATGTATTTTTCCCGCTGAATTGTGTTTAATTCAAGGCTGTATTCCATGTATTACGTCTAACGTTATCCGGAAATTCAAATCCACCAGTGTTAGATACTGTCATTCAAATTCGATATAATGGAAACGCATAGTTATGCGTCATTACGAATTATACATAGATAAAACTGTCTCTTTCGTATAATATATTATTGTTTATCAAAGTCACTAACTGGTAATAAATTTATGGAGAATTGTCATTTGAAAAGGTATAAAAAATAGAAAACCGTATTCATTCTCATTTAAGTACTTAATTGTAACATTAAAACTCGAAATATACTTATGTAAATTTGCTCTGAACTTTTTGTTGTTTCTCCTAAAAATAAAATCCAAAAGAAAATAGATGTATTATTCTAAGACAATTAAAGGCGAGTGGATTCTGTCAGTAGTTGTTCAGTAACACTATTCATATTCAATATTCGATGTTTGGTACATTAATAATATCCACAGGCAGTTGATGACACAATGAGATCGGAAAGAACATTATGTATAGTTACAGCTGTTACTCATAATGTTAGTCATACGTATACATAAATATTTGGTTATGCGTTTCAAAGATTGATGCAATTTTGAATAAATATGTATAATACATAATCTTATCTGTTTCGTCGGTATTTTTATATTAAAGTTTAAAAACTCAAGGTATAGGTCATATTAATCGATAGGTATGTAAAATAATTATTTCCATGTCTTCTGATTGTAGATAATATTAATTTCTACATTATCATTACGTAATTTTTTACTTTCACCGACGAAAAGTGAATTTTTGTATTGTTCTATAATTACTTGTTAAACAAACTATAGATTCTCACCAGTACTATGTAATACTATGTATACCATTATTATGTTTATGGAACCAATTTTTTTATTATATGCTTGTTGGTTACAATCTTCTTTTCGGGTAAAATTATAATTTTTCTTATTTTCCTTTTCAGTATGGCCTTTACTCATCGTTTATGGGGCCGTTCGTGTACGCTATTATGGGTACAAGTCCACAGGTGAACCTGGGACCTTCAGCATTATTATCGCTTCTTACATTTACGTACACAAACGGCACAAATTCAGATTTCGCCATACTTCTGTGTTTCATGGCTGGCATTGTTCAGCTTGTAGCAGGAATAGCGCAACTCGGTAAGACCCTTTGTATTCTTTATCAGGCTTTAAACAATTATCTGTAAGGGATATTGCCCAAATACTTACAGTTTAATGTCCATAAAGAAGATCATTATCTTCAATGACAACATAATTCGATACAGTGTTCAGATATTTTTTAAGGAGTCTGAGAACAAAGGAAAAGTTTTGTTTACATTTTTAAAGATGACGATAATTATTGTTGAGATTATTACGAATAACAAACAATGTGCTCTGGACAAATAATGTCGTCACGGTTTTGAGGAACTGTTTGAGGTGTTAATATAGCTTTGTTCGATGTTTTAGGTTTTCTGGTGGAGTTTATATCTCTGCCAGTGGTATCAGGGTTTACGTCAGCTGCCGCATTGACGATCGCATCATCTCAAGTCAAGGGACTGCTGGGTCTTCGGTACAATGCTGACACATTCGTTACCACGTGGAAGAGCTTTTTCCAACACGTTGGCGAGACGAGATTAACTGACAGCATGCTTAGCTTGGGATGCATTATAGTGCTCACAGTAATGAAGGTAAGGTTTTAACATAATTAAGCAAGACTTGCTAAAATAAACTTAAGAGGCAATCATTTAAGGCCTAATTCTCCATAAAACCGATAAAGGCTATAAAGCATCGTAAATTTAGAACTAAGGGTCTAAATGCCTACCTATTATCGTTCATCATAGTTTGGAACATGTCTTATGAGACATTACGTGAGCATACTCACTTAGGAGCAAGTTGCTGTGTTTATTTGTTAATTTCGTCGATAATTCAATACGACACGTTCCGTAGCGGTGAGCGACCGTCGTCGGGACCGCAACTTGGCAAACTCCGTTACAAAGTAAATACTAAGTCTGATTGTCGTCCCGGCACATGTACGGTTTACTAGATAGTAGACACAGAATTGGGGCAGCATCCCTTGTAATTGACTATTTGTATTGTCGGATATTGCTACTGAATAAGTATTATCTTTAACTAGCATCACGCGCCACGTGTAGATATATGATATGTTGTAAATCTAGTAAGCTTGATACGTCGTGGAAATCTATTAAAAGAATTTTGAAACATTTTCCAACATTTTTATTGTCTAACACAACTTCTTGTTCATACTTTTTAATCATTTTACCTAATAAGAAAATTTTTATGTAGATAGAATTTTATTCTATTTTATACTTTACAATGTAGTAACCTATTTAAATGTGAAGATTTTCAATAATATTTTATTAGAACAATGTAACTAAGTAATGTACAAAGTAACAAAGATCTTGTAAGATTTGCATATTCTTTGTGCAGCGTGTTTTGTTGCTAAACATATTCCGTATACCTACCTAAGCTATACATAATGATAGTATTCTACCTTTACATATTTATTTATTCTACTTTATAAACATGCATATAGGTACTTTTAAAACTTAATAAAAATAACAGTTTAGCTATTGAAAGAAAATAAGGTTTTAAGTAAATAGTTTATTTGTGACCTATTATTAATGCTGTTATAATTACATAATGATAACAATAAAATAATAAAAAGAAAATAACACTAAATTCTACACCTTATGTAAAGACATTTGCATTTTTGCTATTGACAGACCGCAGTAGATACCTATTTAGTTCGCTTTTCCTAAAACTTCTCAAGGTCGGATTACGATTCCTACTGACAATAGTACGGTAAAGTAAATGATCGCTGAAGACTGTGCAAATTACAATTAGTCACAAAGTCACAAGTGGTTTATTATAGACGTTAAGTGAAATTAATATTGATACTATGGTTAATGTTGATATTGTATGATAAATTTCTGGATCGATCCCATTTGATTTTGTGCTTATATAAATTGCTGCTATAAATAAGCAAAAATTATAGTGGCAGTGGATCATAGACATGCAACTTTTTGAATAACTAGTCGAAATTCATAAAAGAAAAAAAGGTCGAATCGTAACTTAGATGCAAAAATACCAGGAGAATTTTATACTTAAATCAAGTGTACTTAAAGAAGTATTTCGCGTTTCAAACAACTTACTCCTTGAAGCTTGAAGTCAGTTTGGTTTGACGGGTCACGTCACCGCGAGCAAAGTACCTATCTTGCAATTTAACCAGAACGAACCTGTGCTTCAGAGATTTTAAAATTTACTTTGAAATGTAGAGAACTTTTAAAATTTACTTGGGCTAGAAGAAGACAAAATGCTATTTTTGTAGCCACTGAAATGCGGGTTATCAGGTAGTCGACGGAAGTAGCCAGACTCATTCGTGCAAATACAACCGATAAACTTTTATCATAGTTAATAACGATGGGAGACTACCGACTTTTATTTTATTATTTTGGACGATAGAGAAAGTTTCCCGGAAAACAGACCGACGTCTGATTAAATCCCTTCTAACTTTGAACTAACTCACCTAAGTCGAGCTATTAACAACGAGGGAACTATTAAATCCATAATACGACTACACAAGTTGGCTCATAATTCAGTGTTGTATATTTGAAGGAGTTCATAAATAAATCAATTATTCGGAGCTGTTCGAATCAAATTTAATCAAAGTCAAATGCAAACATGATTTATTCAGGCTTCGGTTGTAAGTTACGTACACGGCCGAAATCTTCTATCGGCTGAGATTAATACATAATTTACTTTAGGCATACTCCGACCGATGTACCTAAAGTTTACTTTGGAACTAATTTTCACAGCTGCTAGGGATTACTTCTTAGTAATCTCGTAACGCAGTTTGAGATATAATAAAATGGAGCCTCAACACGCTTATCTTCGATGTAATCGATATTCTGTTAAGTTATATGTCTACAGCACGCGATCTGATTGATCATGAAAAAATTTTACTCGTATCAAAATAAAAACTATGTATTTAAAAAGTATAAGAAAAAATAGTTAAAGTAAACTAAAAAAAAATTCGATACTTCGGATCGGAGTATCCTAAAAGTCTTTTAGCATTCAGTCTAGGTATATGATTCAGTTCCAAAATCTTAGATTTAACAATGTCTTACAAAATCTACGAAAAGTAAAGAGTGTCGAAATATTGCTTTAGATCTAAGACTTAATGGCATTTATTTTCAATTTCAGGCCATGAAAGACATCAAAATAAAGGACAAGGCGGCGGACGAAAAGGGTTGCCGTAAAGCGAAAGTACTGAAAAAGTTGTTGTGGTTTGGTGGAGTGTCGAGGAATGCTGTGGTCGTGTGCCTGGCGTCACTCATAGCTTACTTCGTCTATGAAGATAAATATAACCCCTTCCTTCTTACTGGTTAGTATGTGTGGCATAATATTGACAAACCACTTTTAATGGTAGGTGTAACATGACATGGTATGGATATGTGACCATTATTAACTCCCATAAACATGTGCAGCCAGTGCAGATACATGCTGCTATGAGATTTATAGTTCGGTGGGAACGGGATTGTAATCCGACGAGATAGAGAGCTCGTAGGAAACATCATCCCATATGCTAGATTCTAGGGTATTAATGTGTGCGATAAACTAAACTTCCACACGTTGGAATATTGCATATTGAAAACTTAGGCCTTTACTATTATTTATTTGACTTATGTATTTTATAAAAATAGAATGTTGAACACATTTCAAGAAACAAGTCTTAAAAAATAGGTACTTAATGTATTTTTTCTTTTCGTCTTCTCGGGCTAAAATGGTCGTGTCCGGCCACTGCCTTCCTGGCCTTGTCCTTTCAAAAGAATAATAAACGTAGCGATTGTCGTCGTCAGGCCTAGTTTTACAATTAATTGATATACAGATACAGGGAACTTTTATACTAACGTATTATTTTAGTACTTAAGACACCAGATGGCCTTGTACCAAGTTATCAGAATGGTTTAGGTTTATTTTGTTCTTTTATAGTGTTAACTAGAAGACTTTACGTAGTTGTAAAGTTGGTAATAGATTTAATATACAAGGCTTATATACTATGCCGTACTACTTAGAGTGTTATTTGTGGGCACAGGTTTGCAGGAGCACTTTTAATTTATTTGCACTTTACTCCGCATTAAGGTATTCCCTTGAAATCTATAAAAAGTAAAGGTACAAATAAATAACTGGTACCTACTTGTGAAATTTATGGAAAAAAATGTGAAATGTTGACTTCTATAATTAACTGTTTAATCAATAAATTATTTATTTTATATGCTTCCCATGACTTTTGCATGGAATGTAGCCAATCATTGATTATGTTTTTATGCGTTTTATAATAATTTATGTTTCTTTATTTATTATGCATTTTTTGTTAAGTAATCGTCGGCGAGTAAACTATAAGGAAACACATTTTTAGCCATTTATTTGCAGACAATTGGATTTCCCCAAAGAGCTATAAAGTAGTATGACGTGTTGTAGGTGTATTTATTTTATTAATACCGAGGTGAAGGGTACGCGATATACAATATTTAGTAGGACAACATACCGCTTCGTTTGTAGCAGTTATAAGTTTTGGTTTGACTACTAAGAATGGGGTATAAACACAGGGTACCCATGTATATAAATATAAATTAGGCATAAACGTTTAGATAGCGCCATCTAAGTACTGTGTATGTATAAAAGAGAAGTAGTAAATTACAAACTATAGTCAGAATTTTAATTAGATTCCAGATTTGACAATAGCTACTGTCATTTTGTGAAATAATGATACCACATATAATAGTGTAGTGATGCACACAAAAATCGATAAACAATCGGTGTGTGTGTTTTATAATAAATGTTACAGAAAGTGACAGGATAGCGATAGCGATGACGGCGACAATTTATAAAATAACTTATTACCATGATACATCTATCTGTTTTATTTGTCATATTCCTTCATGGTTACATTTTTTTATTTATTTCACACACAATTTTAAAAGAAAAGTCTCAGATCGTTAATTAATCGTCAAAACTAAATTATCGGTTCAGAAATATTTAATTTCCTGATATACTTAGTTCACAAGAGTAGAATTATAAACGAGAAGAATCGATCCAGAAATATTTCATTTCCATATCGAATAATTTCGCAACGTCACTATTTAGTACTTGTCATAACGTTGCAACACTGAAATTGTCAAATTTGGAATCGAATTAAAATTCCGAGTATAGATTTATCAGTACTCAAAATTGTTGATCGAAGTACTCAAATATGTATTAAATAATTTCGAACATAATTTTAAAATAACAAACTATATGTACACATAAAATAGTGACTTTTTGTTATACGTTCCACTGTATAATATCTAATTGTTGATGTACTCGTCTTAGTATACATTTTGCTTATTTAAAATTCCTCGAAACGTTTTTATCCCATATATTTAATTGAGTATTTAATTTGAATAGTTATCCGTTGGCATATCACATGAACGAGGAAGGTTATTAACCGAGTTATTTAGCAGTTTTTTTTAAATGTAATATTTTTCTTGAATTTTATTTTTATTTATTTATTAACACTTCTGTATAACAAACATACGATGTCGGACTTAACCCATTTGGGACCAAATGCAAACTACACATAATTTAATAAAAAAAACTTTATTAACTCAATGATATGACGCCCACAAACTAATATCAGCAAAAAAAATTCAAAAAATATTTTTAGAAGTATTAAAAAAAATGCCGTCCTTGATTGGGGACAACGGTCTCATGTGTAGTACTTTTCGAAGTAGTAACTGTTTTCGACACATAAGGTTCTAACGCATTATTTGCATATATATCACAGTTTTTTTATGATGAACTGCGTATCGTAACAGATATTAACTAAATCTCTGCGGAAAATGTCTAAATCAATTTGATGTGACGCGCCTATATTTTTTTTGAGGGTAAAAATCATGCATTGCGTTTTCCGCCTGGGGGACTCTTACTGGCTAAAAACCAACACGTTCCTAATTCTGCTTCAAGCCGAAGCCCCGGTGACCCACTAGGTTATTCATAGTAGTCGGGCATCTGTCCCACTGGACCATCTCGATCTAAGGCGGTCTGATCTGCACTTTGAAGCACGCGCGTAACGCCACGCACCTTACAGGTACAGGTCTGGTTCTAGGCGGCGATCTGTTCTTGCTACTATGACTGCTTCGCAGAAAGAGATGTTTTCCAGTTCCCCTCGATCCGCACCACAGCCAGAACCTAAGCTGGATGTGGAAGATTATCGTCGTCGATCACTTCCCTGAAGACACGGCGGTGGTCAACGTATACAGGGCATAATGCTACTCTATCCTCTGGGTGGACTTCGCTGTGACGACACCAGAATACAGCTGGAGGAAATGCCCCCTACTGCTGAATTCTGATATCGGATGCGACGCCTGGTACTTTTGCATCTTCGGTCTTGATGCCCATCAGATTTTAGAATATGAACGCGTAAAGATATGGCGGAATTGGTGATGCTCTTCGTGAATTAGCGTCTGCTGTCACCAAGTATTAGCTATAACTAAGTTTAGCCTATAGGTGACCTTTATAAATTGGAAAACGAAATACAAATCAGGTATAAATGTTTTAAAAATATACTACAGATGTGCCCATTGTCCCCATACGGGGACACCATCATTTTTTCTAACTTTCCCATAAGCGGAATTGAAAGTATAAGGATATTCTTCAATATTGTTTTAATTGACACTATAAGCAAGCAATAATCACAAAAATGTTTTATAAATCTTCATAATAACGTACTACAAAACGCCTCTGCTTTCAATAATAATTCCCATTTCACTTCCTCTTGATCAAATTGACAATATGACCCCTTTTTTGTAGCAATTTGTCAAAAGTTCTAATAATTTTAGGAAAGTACACTACTCCTCATTATAAATACCCATGAAATGTGAAGATAGCTAAAATAATTAATAACCAGCGGGTAAAAGAAAACCTGTCCCCATATGGGGACGGCGGGCCCAAATGGGTTAATGCCGGGTGGCATTCTCTAACATGTGATGCAGAGATGTGCAACAGTAGGTGTAATAGGTATAATGGTTTATGTGACACAGAAAAATCCATATAAATAAATTTATGATTATGCATAACTGTAAATAGATACATATATCTGTATATATAGGTATAATATAAATTACATAAGATACATTATCAATATTACTAAATAACAATACTATAAAAGTAAATAAATAAATTGGGGATAAAACTACGCTTAGTTTTAAAGTTAAGGTTCGTGAACTATTGGGGATATATATTAAACTAGCTTCTGCCCGCGACCCCGTTCCCGTTCGTGATTTTCGGGAAAAAGTAAAAAAAAAGTATTCTATAAAAAGTATTCTATGTCCGTCTCTTGGTTCTAAGGTACCTCCCTGCCACTTTTCATCTAAATCGATTGAGGCGTTCTTGAGTTATAAATAGTGTAACTAACACGACTTTCTTATATATATATATTTAGATACAATCGCCAAAATGATAAATTAAGTACGTGATGCGTCTGTCTGTTCCCTCTGCAATAGTTCACGAACCTTAACTTTAAAACTAAGCCGGCTGGTTGCCGTCCTGACATCCGTGGGCAGCGCATTCCACAGCAGAATGGATTGGACAAAGAATGAAGAGTGAAGGAAGTCGGTCCGGTGTGTGGGACATTGTAGAAGAAGATTATTAGTGGAACGTAGATACTTGCTGTGGTTTGCACTTATGAACTGAAAATAGGAGGATAGATAGCTAGGAGAAGTGGGGGAATTAAGAAGAGAGAATAAAGTGGTTAACGCCCGTTGTTTCCTGTGTTGACGTATGGGCAACCACTTTAGTTGCAACCGATATGCAGAGACATGGTCGTATTTACGCAGGTTAAAAACGAATCGAATGCAGTTATTTAGAAGGCGGTCAAGTTTATTGAGGAGATCTGCATTCAGGTCGTAGTAACACACATCAGCGTAATCAATTATGGGGAAAACCAAGGACTGAACAAGCATCGCCCTGGTCGACGACGTAAGGAAGTTTTTTAACCGATACAGGGCTCGCAACGTCCCCGTGACTCGCTGACAGACACTAGTAACATGAGCACGCCAGTATTTTTGATGATTTCGTTAGGTTCTTTGCAGGATAATTATGACTATTTGAGTGCTATTCAGATGTTATGAATGTCAGAGCTAGTAGGAATCGTGCAATCTATTCTACATAACCTCTTTAGAAATGATATGATGTGACATTTGTAAACCCCATGTGGAATTTTCCACTTTTTTCATAGAAGTATTATTGATTTCAACTTTTGAAGGTGTAAAACTTCATGACCAATTCCAAAGACTGTTCTACAGAAATGCAACTCATTTGGTATACCACTGTAGTACTACAATTAATTTTTCAGGTACCATAACACCAGGTCTACCGCAGGTTCGTCCGCCAGTGTTCCAGACGACTGTTGGTAACACTACATACACCGCTGGTGAAATGTTGTCACACCTTGGTTCTGGACTGGCTGTAGTACCTATAGTCGCTATATTGTCTAACGTTGCTATTGCTAAAGCATTCGGTAAGATTTTTTTTTTAATATTTGCAATAATTTTTATAATTTTTAAGGTCACTAAACACAATTTATTTTGAACACAAGAATTATCCCCGAAAGGGTAGGCAGAGGTGCACATTACGGTACTTAATGCCACTGTACAATGTAACACCCACTTTCACTATTTATGTTATGAGTCCCATGTAATAGGGGGTGAGCGTATTGCCATATACCGGGCACATTTCTCGACTCCGTGTTACTACTGAGAATTTCTTAAAAAAAACCCAGTAATACTTGGCCCGACCCGGGAATCGAATCCGAGCCCCCTTGCCCGGTAGTCGCACTTGCGACCACTCGGCCAACGAGGCAGTTGTCATATTATCTTAAATTACTTTGTTCTGACTTTGTTTTTATTCTTTGTATTTGTTATAACTTTTCCTTTAATTAATCTTCCCTATAAGTCAAATTAACTGACTTTACCATTGAGACATAATAATAAGTTAATAGTTAGGTAAGTGTTATTTATATTATTGATTCGTCTGGTTTTGTAGTAAGACATCCAGATGATTCCGAAATATAAGGAGTAGATAATTATTTGACATTAAAAAAGAGTAACTGAATTTGTTCGTACCTCATCGTTGTCTAATATTTTATTAACGAAGACAACAATACCAGGTTGTAATATAATAACTTAGTAATAGCTGCGTTACCGAGTTGGACCGAGTCGTGATAATAAGTACAATAACAACAAACATGCCACGGCGAAAGCAATAATGAATTTTCGTTCCCCGTCATGTCTCTAAGGTGATAATTAAATAGCAATGTTCTCGTTTCGTGATGTTCCTCTGTTTTTGTGTTCTCCTAGTCCGCTTACTCGCTTCGTTGCGTTTTCATTGTCACTTGGACATTCCAATTCCCACATCAATGAACTTCTAAATATATTTTTGTTGACGCTATATTTATTCCCGTTCTTTGGTTATTAAGTATTGATTTGTGAAAAAGTTTGAATAACTTGGCTGTAAGTGCTGAACGTGATTGTAGTTTGGAGTTTTAATTTACATTATATTTCTACCTGAACATATACGATAATATTATAAAAAAATAATTGTACCACGTTAAAGGAAATTGTACTTACACACAACCACATCAAGTTTCGAGACGATGTATTTTTATTAACTTAAACAATGCTGTGTTGACGAGAATATTTTAAACATTAATTCAGGTTGGAAACTTCATTCCATTCATATTATTATGTTAAAAACTTTCAAATATTTAATTTGGCATCGTGTTGAAGGTGTTACATGTTTTATAAAATATTATGTTACAATTGCCAAAATTCATGAATGAAAAACAGTTTCCATGTTTCTTGGAGAGCATGACACGATGTTACCTAAGGATTGACAAGAGGTTTAATCCTTAGAAAGTGAGTTTGTTTGTTTGTTCCACTTTCACGCCGTTACTACTAAACCGATTGCTTTAAAAATTTGCAGACGTAAAGTTCGAAGTCCGCATTAAATAATAGGGTACTTTTTATCCCGGAAAAATGTGATATTCCCGAGGGAAAACAAAAGTATTGGTATAGATTGCGCTGTGTGTATTGGTATGTTATTACGTCACAGGCTACTTTTTTCCTTTTGTGACGCGAGCGAAGCCGCGGGTAAAAGCTAGTTAAAAATATAATTCAGTCACATCTTCTTGAAATAAACGAGAGATCCTCTGAATGTAGATAGGATATCGTGAACACGTTGTATCCCAGTGGACACTGTCATACTTAATGACACATGATTAATATTCCCAGATTATTACGACATATTCGTCGAAATATACTGCATACATTTTTATGAACACCTTTAAAAATTCAATATCCAATCTGTTGACATTTATCCCAAGTAAATGCTTTTAAATAATTTGACAATACCAGTGATGAAGCGTAAAAATGTTTACAGCAAACACATTGCATATGTTTGCCGATACGATTTTACAAAAGAGATGTCTGTCGATTCACGTCAGTTAAGCCAATGTGAAATTTATTCAAAAATCCATGCAATTTCAACTGCCAAGTAAAAATGTACGCGGGTTTGTTTATCCAGTGACGTTTCGTTTTTACTGAATGTGTACCTACGAACGTGGCCCGAGCTGATAGATTTATCAACGGTTCAATATGATTTGAAGTAAATATTTGCAGATTTTAATTTGCATAGACTTTATGGTTTGTTTTCTTCTCCGAGTGAATTGGTTTTAAAGAATTGATATTATGTTCAGGTTTGACTTAATCTTGTTATAAATATTCGTCTGGCCTTGGCACGAAAACTAGAATCTTGATTTGTTGGAGCACTTCTTCCGATTTAATTGACTAGATACTAGACCAATGAAGTAGTCAGAAACACGGCTTTCGAACGAAAATTTAATATTGCTTTATCTATCAAAGTAAAAACAGATTTCAATAAATTGTTTTAAAGTTAGAGTACTATCGACATCCAATAAATATGAGTTTGATAACTTTTGATTTTGGACTTTTCGTTGGTAGCGGTGAAGGTTACGCACGTGCTTTTGTCGTTTTCCTACGTTTGTTGACTATTTTAGTGATCCCCCTCAGTGTGAACTGAAATCCTTTAAGTTCTGTGTTGTCGTGTTGTCTAATTAACTGTGTCCGTAAGTTTTATCTCGGTATTGGTAGTTTTAAGTAAGTTTTTCCACTTGTTTCCTCTTCCTACTTTTTATCCCCAAAATGGACGAAGAGAAGCCACCCGATCCTCCCGATAAATCGCCGGAATACGAAACTGAAACAATTCTGACCATTACCCTTCCTCCCAATACAACACCAAATTTTGAAAGAATGGACTTAGAACCCACCAACAGTCGGAAACGACATGCAGGCTCCCCTCCTATCTCCATGAATAATCCTCCAAAACTGGCGAAAAGTGTATACGGTAGACAGTGTTATACGGCCAGGGATAACCCTCCGTATGTAGTATATGTGTCCCTTAAGGACGCTCAGACGTCTGGCACCACACTACACCCGGTTAAGTTCGGAATGTTTCTTATGAAACAAAACATTAACAATGTTAAGATTGGTGGTGTTAAACGTCTGGGAAGGAACCGAGTTTCGGTTGAGTTTGTGTCGCACCAGGATGCAAATAGTTTCTTGGTGAATAGTATGGTGGCTCAAAGCTATGTTACCTCAATCCCTCAATTCAATGTAACACGAATGGGTATTGTGAGGGACGTCCCTGTTGAATGGACAGAGGACGAAATCATTGGAAATATCAAGGTTCCCAACGGCTGTGGGGCTGTGATAAAGGCAAGGAGGATGAATCGCAGAATCACTTCAATAAACGGTACCGAATGGAAACCTACCCAAACTGTAGTGCTTACCTTTGATGGCCAAATCCTACCCAAAAAGGTATTTTGCTTTTACTCAGCACTTCCGGTAGAACTGTATGCATATCCTACCATACAATGCTATCACTGTTGTCGTTTTGGACACACCCGCACTCTCTGCCGCTCGAAGCCGCGTTGTTTCAGGTGTGGACAGGACCATCCAGGTGATGGATGCCAGACTTCAGCCGATACTGCCCATTGTATTAATTGCAATGGCAACCACTTTGCCAATGACAAAGCATGCCCTGAATTAGGACGCCAGAAGAGCATCAAAGCTTTGATGGCGGAAAAATCTATTTCGTATATGGAAGCAAGCCAGGTTTTCCCTATGGTTAAAAGGTCTTATGCTGAGGTTTCAAGGTCAGTCAACCTTATAGATTCGTCTCCTAATAAATCACCATCCCAACAAAGAGTGTCCTATAAAAAAACAGTTCATCTCAAACCTAAGTCACATGCCCCCCTTTCCCCAGCTATGATAAGAAGGCCCATCAGGCCCTTATCCAGGACTACTCTTACTCCCCATCCAAAAATGGTTGCGCTTTCCCTATGGAATCCGGAACCAACATTCGTAGCTCCAAAAACATACTAAATATAGTTTCTGATATGCTCATGGCAGTTCTATCAAACCCTGCCCAAAATGTACCTGACCACGTGGCACACAAGCTTTCTACAATTTTAGACTATATTTGTAAAATTCCTACCTCTAACACTGCTTCAGTGGAACGTGAGGAGTACTCTTCCCAGGAAGAGTGACTTACTCCACTTAATTAACAAATTTAAACCATCGATTTGTGGCATTGCTGAGACATGGCTTCGACCGAATATTAATTTCGGGATCCCGTGTTTCAGTGTTGTCAGACATGACAGATCTGATGGTTATGGAGGTTGTGCTTTGTTAGTTAATAACAAAGTGCCCTTCACCCAGATCCCTCTACCCTTCGTTGGCGATGACATCAATGTTGTCGCTGTTAAGGCTGAGGACATAAATATATTTGTATTTTATATTGCACACCCTCATGTTAATCACATTAGGTTAATTAAAAATCTGCTATCCGTGGTAAGTGGCCCATTGCTTGTAATGGGTGACTTCAACTGCCACCATTATAGATGGGGTTCAGATATATGCGATCTAATGGGTAATGAATTAGTGGAGATGCTGGACGAGCTCGACTTGTGTGTCATTAATGATGGCAGCCCTACTCGTAGGTCTGCATTTGGTCAAAGAAACAGCTGTGTTGACTTGACCTTCTGCTCGCCTGCTATGGCTGGCATGCTAAACTGGAGTTGTTTAAATTTGTCCTATGGTAGTGACCACTATCCCATCATAATTAAAAATCCTTCAAAATCCATTCCAGATAAACCCCTTCCCCCCCTATTAAAATATCGTTTAAATTCAGCAGACTGGGATCTGTTTTCAAAACTATTAGACCACCGTATTTCTTCCCTTCCACCAGTAAATACCGAGAATGCTTTGGAGTGCTTTTCTAAATTTTCGGACCTGATAGCTTCTACAGCTGAAGACTGCTTTCCGGTGAAAAGCACACCAAAAAGCAAAATTCCTTCTCCTCCATGGTGGGATAGTGAATGCACTGCCATGATAAGAGCTAGGAATGAAGCTGAAAAGACATATAACCAAGATATGAACCTGGAAAATCTCCTAAGTTTCAAGCGAATTTTGGCTGAGTCAAGAAAATTGTTCAAAAAAAAGAAAAGACAGGGGTGGCAGAGATTTTGTGGTTCCCTAAGCCCATCCACACCAATATCCACAGTTTGGCAGAGAGTAAAAAATTTTAGGAACTCCACCAAACCTCCCTCTATCTCCACTCTACCCGAATGTCTGAATAACAATTTTCTTAATAGTATTGCCCCACATACGTTCCTAGTGCAGATGAATGCTGCCTGAGTTCCTATGAGATCGAGAGACCCGAGATTCATGATCCACTCGATTTGGAGTTTTCATTTGAAGAGCTCCAAACTGTGCTCAATCATGTAAAGGACTCGGCACCAGGAATTGATGGGTTCCCCTACTCCTTCTTAACTAAGGCAGGAACCAAAACGAAACAGTACTACCTTGACTTAGTCAATTTTTGCTTTACGTCAGGCTATATTCCTCCTACATGGAAGGTTCAGGTTATTATGCCGCTGTTAAAACCTGGCAAAGATCCTGGTGACCATTCGTCGTACAGACCTATTGCCTTATCGTCCATACTCATTAAATCATTTGAACACCTCATCAAAAACCGACTTGAATGGTTGGTAGAAAGCCAGAGGCTGCTTCCGGCGACTCAGTTCGGCTTCAGAAAGGGTCTGGGTACGGCTGACAGTGTAGGTACTCTCACGTCAGCCATCCGACTGGCCCTTAGCAGGCAGGAGTCGTTGGTCGCGGTTTTCTTGGACATCTCAGCGGCCTATGATTCTGTCCTCTTACCCCTTCTCAGGCAGAAACTGCAACAGCTGAGAATTCCGAGTAGAATCTGCCGAATAATAGGCTGCATCCTTTCCGATCGTACCCTCCAATTGAGAACTCCTGAGGATAACCCAGTACAGAGGTCCTCCTGGAAAGGTTTACCTCAGGGGTCAGTCCTTAGTCCCATCCTTTATAATATTTATACATATGACCTCCCCTCCTGTTTAAATTTTAACTGTAATGTCCTTCAGTATGCTGACGATATCGCACTAATGGTTACCAACAGCTCTATAACAGACGCTGCTCACTCCATCAATGTCTCTTTGGCCTCATTAAACCAATGGCTACTTAATCACGGGTTATCTTTAAGCGCCCCAAAAAGCTCAGCTATCATTTTTACACGCAAACGACGCACTCCAGATGTTTGTATAGAGATAGACGGTCAGGCTATTCCGATCAAAAGCAGTGCTAGATTTTTGGGAGTTTATCTCGACTCAAAGATGTCTGGGGTGGACCACATAAACACCGTAGTTGGAAGGTGTGAACGCTCAGTATCCCTACTCAGAGCCTTGGCCGGGGTTTGGTGGGGTGCCCACTCTTACTCATTGAAGCTCATCTACAATGCATTGGTCAGAAGCGTAATGGACTATTGTTGCTTCCTTATTGTTCCTTGCAATAAGGGTGCATTAAAAAAACTAGACTCCATTCAGGCCAAATGCCTTAGAATAATTATTGGAGCTATGAAATCATCCCCCATAAATGCTCTTCAGGTTGAATGTGTAGAGCCTCCCCTCAACCTTCGAAGACAATACCTGGCAGACCGTTTCATTTCAAAAGTTCTCTCCCTCTCATCACATCCTCTGATTCCTATCCTGGAACAAATCCACTGTTTTTTTAGCTCCTCTTCCTATTGGAATAATAAACCCGTCCCTCCCGTGATCGTCAGGTACAGAGAACTTAAAAACCTCTCTGCACCTATCAGTCAATATCCTGTACTCCCGGTTTTCTCTTCCATATATGAGATTATTCACTTCAGGCCAAAGCTGATTCTAGGACTTGGCATCTCGAAATACTCGGCGAATGCTGCGGGTGAGTTTGGACGCGCCTTGAGCAGATTCTGGAAGGGCTGGAATGTTTTCTTCACGGACGCGTCTAAACTATCCCGAAACGGATGTACAGGAGTAGCAGCGTACTTCCAAAATTCGAAGATCGCCCTTCTTTCCAAGTGCCCCCCGGAAACATCTGTCTTCACGGGAGAATGCATTGGCATTCTGGAATCAGTCAAATTTATTAGAGCGCACAACCTTAAGAATTCCATTATTTTCTCTGACTCCCGAAGTAGCCTACAATCTCTCAACCAAGACCAGCTCCACACCCGAACCCATAGCAGTTTGGTTGTAGAGATAAAGGCGCTTCTTTTTTCCTGTTACAATGATGGCATAAATATCGAGATCGCTTGGATCCCTGGCCACTCTGGCATACGTGGTAACGAGTGTGCGGATTCGTTGGCCAAATTTGCGGCCTCGAACGATGTCGAACGTCAACACTACGTTGTGTACGGATATGACATACGTGCCGATACCAAACACAAGCTGTTTGAGTCATGGACTGCAGTGTGGGTGGAATCTTCCAAGCATAAAGGATCCTACTATGCGGGTGTCCAGCCGGGCATCCGACGGAAGCCTTGGTTTTCCAAGTACCCTAAGCTTACCCGTCACACTATTTCATCCTTGTGTAGGCTCAGACTCGGCCACTGTAGTAGTCCGGTCTTCCTCAACAAGATCCGCGTTCGTGACAGCTCACTGTGCGAATGCGGCCTTGACGAGGGAACTTTAGATCATATATTTTTTTCATGCCCCTTAAACTCCCAATCCTTTGACCTCTATCAAAAACTCCCCAGTATCCAAATCCCGCTTCCAATCAGTTTCCACCTCCTTTTTACTCACTTTTCCCATAAATTAATCCATTGTTTAAGTAAGTTTATCAATGAAAATGGGATTAAGATATGACGGTGTTCAATAATGTAAATGATGTACATACTTCTCTGTTTGTATTGTGTATGTCCCCTCAACTATTTTCTACACCTCTGTATATATACAGTAAAATAGTTGATAATAATTATATGTTCACTAACCCAAATGTTTTGTCCTTTCAGCTACTAACAACTAAAAACTACCATAAAGTTAATTTCGACGGTTCATTAAACTACCGTCATCACTGGACACTGGCAGTATAGTCGACAAGATCACTTTGGAGACTCGTTTGCCAAAGAGAAAAAAAAAAAAAAAAAAAAAAACTTTTGATAGTTTTATTACTTTGAATGTTTAAATTAGTTGGAAGATGGTATCAAACTGGCCACGTTAGGTCGACACAATCCATTGAAATAAGTAGAGAATATTGTAAATCAACTTTGGTAGACTTGTTATAGAACTATTGCTCATAATTGGACGAGCTAATTGAGTTTATAAACAAATTGCTATCTTAAATTTGAAACTTGACTTGTTCATTATAATAATAACTGAATTTATGTTCATACGATGATTATAATCGAGGTGTTATTGGATTAGCGCTGTCGGCTTATAAACACGATTCTGAAGGAGAATCCTGATAACATAATAGTCTGATGTGACATGTCTACGATTGTTTGCTTAAACTTTGTCTAGTTATAAGTAAGTACTTATCACACAAAGTCACGCCTGTCTTACATGAAAGGCAGGTCTTCCTCTCATGGATTTTTTGTAATCGCGTACTTATTCTAATAGACTTGAGTGATAGCACGGCCTCACAGAAATTTGCGTGAAACAACGCTTGCGTTGTGTTTGAAAATCAAACCTATCTTCTGTTAATTCGTACTTAGTTAACTAAACAACGAGGTACTATACTTTATCTCGTAAACACAAGGAGAGACATGAATAGAGAATACTATACTGCAAAATGTTTAGACTTCAGTAGTTGAACAGCTTCTTTTATGTCTCTTTAGTTAGTATCGTGAAAGAGCTTTGTGAGCTTGTTAAAAATGTTCGCATCACTACCTTAATTTATACATATACATAATGTTCAACGAGATGTATATCCTTTACGACTGTGTGAAATAAATCACAATAATAAACAGTGAACTGACACAATGCTCGCCCAAAAAACAATTCTCAATGGTTTAACAAAGTTGATAACTCGATAATATTTCAGCTAAGGGGAAAACTGTGGATGCGACACAAGAAATTGTGGCTTTGGGCGTTTGCAACATTGTCAGCGCTTTCTTCCGTTCAATACCTGTGAACGGCTCGTTTTCCCGAAGCGCTGTAAGCGACGCCTCCGGAGTCAAGACACCTGGCTCAGGAATATACACGGGTAAGTACTTAGGACGTAGAAATTGGCTAAATGTGCTATTCGTTAGACTAGCACATTACTCAAACATAATTTTGGAAGAAATACGGCGAGCAACTGGCTCGTGTAAAAGGATAAACGTGTTCAACGTATGTAAGTACATTTATTACGTGGATTCTGTTAAGATTATTGGGGATTCGTGTAATAATTAAGCTGGTTTGTACGGTTGATTTATTGGAGATTAGTACAAACTGGCTATGATTAATAGTCGCTGTTAAAAGAGAGGCTCGACGAATTCTCGTCAATGTCCCATGAGAATTTAATTACTGAACCCTTTGACAATTTACGACAACAGAACATATTAGTCAGATATAAAAAAAATATCCATTAAACGCGTGTAGATAATATGAGGTATATTGAAGTAGTTAGGTTGAATGACAGGAATATTTGTAACGGTTTGTTTTAAGTCATAGCTTAGCTTTGAAAAATGTCTATCGAAAACAGAACGATATAAAACCGAAATAAATTCAGTACGACTTTTGCTACCTCGATGTTTGGTTATTTACAATTTTCATTGTTTCAATTTGTTTCATGGGAATTCGTTAGCTGTTAACTTTCTTATGTTTTGACGATGGCTTCAGGCGCTTGTTAGCGTAACGTCCCTTCCGTGTTTAGTGATCTCTTGACTGCTCGGAATGCTTCAAGTGGAATAGTCAATTTTGATTTCCTGAAAACATCGTATAAATTGTACGTAGTCCATTTCCCTCTGGTTTTACAATCAAGTTGGACTGGGAAACAAACTTTAGTCGTAATGCTCTAGGTAGAATTGTAATTTCATGCATCGTGCACCCGAACGTCCGCGTTTGTCAGTGATTGCATTAGCTCCTGCGATATGATAGAGGGGAGTCGAATCTCGTACTATCGTGAGCGTTCTATCGAGTTATAATTGAACATTTTCTATCAGAAAATCTTAATTGCCCTGTTCAACCTAACTAACGTAACCGGGACCGCAGGAATTGGGTTACGAAAGTAGTTTACTCTAGATCAATGAAGCGCTTTGAAAAGTTCATTAAAAATATTTTCAACGTAATCTTGAAAGTGGATTCTTTGTACTTGGGTTACTAACTTCATCTAAAAGTTTCCACTTTATAAAAAGTGAAAATGAACTAATAATAATATTTAATCTTTTGACTGAAAGATATAAAGTTGTGATGGTTTAGAGTCAATTTTCAGTTCTTTGTCGCTCCCGTCGTCTTAGCTGAACTGAGATAACACTTGCTTTATCGTTACCATTTTATATCACACTCTATTTTTCTTCACGAATACTTTTCCAACGTTTTGCTTTTGTTTCGTTGTGTTCTAGTTTATAGTAGTATGTATTATACGGGTTATGTTTGTATTGTACCGATCTATATTTGAATGCTTGTGTACGGTATTGGCTTTTGAATTTTTCATTTACTTTTATGTCGTTTTTGTAAAATAATTTTAGTTAAATCTGGCAAATGGGTCATAGTAGTGACTTCTTTACAGAATTATTTTTGTACTTACATTTTTAAAGATGTGTGACAGAATAATTTAAATGGTTGGTCATGCAGTTAAAAAAACTTTTATATTTAAAAATACATAATAACATTCTTAAATACGAGTTAAAATTATTTTTAATCCTGTGTGTAGGTAGCGTTATACTAATTTAAATTTTTAAATGCTTTGCCATAATTTACAACGTTTGCCAACTCTTTAACTTGACTGTAACTGATACGGATTCATTTGCATTGTTTACTTTACAAACTGAAATATGTTTTCGGTCCTCACTAGATATGCAAATTAAAATAAACTGGCCGATGAAAATATGCCAGGACGTTGTCCCTTTTGGACTAAATTATGTAAAGATGTGAAACAAAGATTTGGGTTTCGTTATTTATTATCGTTTTATTTTTATAAAGATAAGTGCAATACAGTGATATCGTAAATTCAGTGCCGGGCCATCTCCCCGCCTCCCGGAGGTCAAAGATCGTGTGTCGCATTATGTCAACCTGCAAACTTGCTCTGTTTCGACTTTACATTATTCAGGGTGTTCCCAATGAATATTTACTCGCCCCAATTGAATCTCAATAGAGTTTTGTTAGTCCGACATTAACATTGCGGCTTGGATTATTTGGAAATCAGAGTAATCCTCAACTTTCGTATAAATAAGTATTTTTGGGTGTCTTTAACTTGATTTGTGGAGAACAAACATTTTATGTTCGTTGTGAACTTGTTTCATATAAACATTTTCCTATAATTTCCAAAATTACAATACGATTATATTTCATAGTTAGTTTGTATTTATTTGCTATTTTAAAGCGGTTCGCCCTTTGATTTAGTTTAGACAATAATTTATTATGTATTCAGCAAAGTGTTATCATTTGCAGATCCCAAAATAGAACCAACAACAAAACAATGAATCGCCATTGCTTTGCTTATTTACAAATAAATGCAAACACAATAATGGTTCGCAAACGTAAATGTTTCTCTAATCAATTGAACAACACTGAGATTACAATTGCAAATGAAAACCTATAAATGATAAATTTATCGTTTACCACGGTTCTAAAGTCAGTCAGGAGAAATCCTTCTAGATTTCGTCGAATCTAGAACGAGTCAGAGTGATTTGTGGCTTTTCTAATGTTCGGGACGAGAGTTCTCCGGCTTTTAATCTTAGGATTAGTTTTAACAGAAATGGGGTGTTTGCAGTAAGACAAATGTAAATCCCGCGATATAAATCATTTTTACCATGTGCGACAACAGCGCGAGGGAGTTGTATGTAGTGGGTACCTACTTCATAAATCTAAAAGTTTGCATCGTAGTTTACTGTCACAGCCAAGTTTCCGTGGTTTTACAATTTCAAATATACGTCTGAAGTATCAGGAAGCTCCCTTCATATATGTGTGTCGGGTGAATTTGTGGCTACATTGTATTGAATGCACTCACCTTTTTGTTGATTTATTCTGATTCTTGGCTAGGATTTTAGTATTCGACTTGTGTCTAGGTAGAGATATGCCAAAACACAAGAACGCCTCTAGAATTGATCTTAATTATAATTTCTATGTGCAAACTTTTCCAATAAACATTGACAACTTTTATTTATTTCAGTAATTTATCGTAATATTTATTGTTGTTTTGAACAATTGTTTTTTGTTGTATATTTATGTACTTTTTACGTAGGTACCTTATTCTTAGATGCGGAATAAAGATTGTATAAAGTACATAAAGCGAAATTGAATACAAACATTCCTCATCTATTGTCGCACAGTAGCACCTCTTGCTTGTAATCATAATAATAGCTGTGCAATTAGCACTCCTGTTAATCTCTCGATAGATTCTGTATTAATTGGGCCGGCTATGTAGGTGTGTTGAAATATAGGGACGTTTGTACTTAGTAGCTATGAATTATTGATATTAATTGTTACAACCATTTGTGGTCCTGTTTAATAAGACCCGACTTAGGTACGTTCCAGTTGTATAATGCTCTCTGTGAAATTAATAACCGTTTATACGCAGTAATAGACAAGAGAGATGAGAGAGGTATGCGGAATACCGCCGCAATCAGTCATTCAATACAACTTACTCTAAACAAGATTGAATTTCTGTGACGGCGACTAGTTCGATGCAGTTTCTATTAAAGTTTGATGTTACGAAATTCTAGGTAATGCACGTGGTTTTACTCCGAGATATCTCGCGCAGAAGTTATCTTTATGGTTAAAAGATGTAATAACTCACGTCGACTTTTTGGCTCGCCGGAGACTGCTGGAAATATGTCATTGCTTTCAGAGGATTTATTTAAACGTTACGCCTTTACGTAATAAGTGTGCTGTCTATCAAATGCTCTCGTTATATTTCAGTTGAGAGGTAATCTTAAGTGTTGAAGTTTATATTGCTTCGATTAAAGTTAGGAGAAAAGAACTTTTAAGAACATATCTCAAGTTTTCACACAGGTACTTAAAGAATTCTGAAGTTGTGTTTATCGGGACTGTGCGGAAAGTTGATAAATAAGATCAATCCTTTCAATATATTATATGTTTATGTGTTCAGGTATAATAGTGATATTGACGCTGGCATTGCTGACACCTTACTTCTACTTCATACCCCGCGCTGCACTCTCTTCGGTCATCGTCTGTGCTGTTCTACAAATGGTCAATTATGAAATTATCAAAAAGCTATGGAAAAGTAGCCGTAAGTATAATTTTAGTTTTTTTTCTTTTATTCAAATACTTAGTGCTTTTCTTAAATTTGTAAGTGTCCAACATCATTATTATGAGTTTTCGTACAGCAGCCATTTTTATTTACAAAGCTCTGTCTAAGGGTACTTATCTCGTAAAACATTCATCAAAATGAGATTTAAGGTTGGCAGAAGATACTCGTAATTTTACAGCAACGGCTTTCAACGTGCAACACTTTAGAATGTTTCGAATAATTTGAATGGGAGGAAAATCAAATATTTACCTACTATCGTATTCCATTAAATTCCATTTTCGCATTCAGCGAGGTACTTGGGAGACCCTTTGTAATCCCACTAAAGATTATAATGTTATTCCACTTGGTGGTAGACGAAAGTTCAAGAGTTGCCAAGTTTCTCTCATTGTCGCCCTTGTTATTTCGTGCCTCTTTACCCTCGACTCTGGAAGAGTAAGAAAAATACCAAAGTGGTTGGCAAACTTTCATAAGTGTCATGGTTGATGGAAGCAGATAAGGTCGAAAGATTTTGTGCTGATTAGTGAACCTCTATTTGTTCCTTTAAGGAAAAAATAAATAGTTTGTTAATACCTACATATGTTTGGTTTATCTGTTTTATGTAGCAAGGTTTTTATTAGCAATAAAAGTAATAATTAATTAGGGAAAACAATAGGTATTTGTTTAGTTAATCAGCATTTGTCAGTAACTTCATTTACTCTATGAAAATAGGGCATAAAGTTCGTAAATAGTTAACTCAATTTTCCTTCATGGTTACTCAGGCAAAGAAGTGCTCATTTAAACTAATAGCTTCCAGGGCTTTGTCTCAAAACCTACGCCCAAACTAAGCCTACGCTTAACCACAAATTTGTAAACGCAACACGTATTTAACCTAGGAAGCTGCTTAAAATTAAGGAACTGGCTGGATTAAGTTCATTAAGTCCCCGTCAGCGGAACTGAAAGAAATTTTTTAATATAGCAGCATGCTTCGTTGTCACGAAGGCTAAAGCTGTTTTAATTAAAATGTGGGCTCAAATGAATAAGCTTATGTGATGTTAATGATATTTTTACATAATATTCATTACTTTGTGTTGTGTATGGGATAGACTTTGTTAAGCTTCCCGCTTCCGTACCGGTTAGCTGGTACATCAACAACGCGCTGTAGATTATTTCTAGCAGTAAGTAAGAGGATTAGAGTTATCGCCGCTGCGATGTCGGTTCATTAGTGACTGCAGCTGGTCGAGGTCGATTATAACGTCTTAGAGCGATTAATGTTCTCGTGGTAGCAGGACAATGGGATAGAAAGCGAAAAGGATTTAGTGAACATCATTGTTTTGTGTTTTGTCTTTTGACTCTGGACGCAGCTTGCTAAATAACTATTAGGGACGGGATTATTACATAAAATAAGGATTTTCTATTGCTTAATCGTAGGTATTTATCTACTTTTTTTGGAATAAGCCGGTTAAAAACCAGACGGATCACCTGTGGGTAAGCAATCAGCGCCACGGGTTTGCGTTACGGGCCTTTTGGGGATTAGTAATTTAAGGATTCTTGGGGATTTAGCGTTTGGGGAGATTGGGGAGGGGTGTAATTGGGCCTACTGCCTATGTTATTTAATGACAAACGTATACTTTTCTCCAGGAATGGATTTAATACCGCTATTCGGTACCTTCCTATGCTGTCTATTCTTGGGCGTTGAGATTGGCCTGGTCTGCGGTGTGGGAGTTGATGCACTACTACTTCTATATTACCACTCACGACCACCCTTAGATGTGCAGTACATTGATGTAAGTAAATGTTATTTTAGTTATACATATAGAATGTTTAGTACAAGTTTAAGTTTCCTTATTTATCAGACGAGCAATGATATTATTTATGTATTGCTGTTTTTTCATGCAGGCGATAAATGTACGGAAGAGTTCCTATCGGTAGTTTCCGTGGTTAATGGGATTGCGAAGTGTTCTTTTATTAACACTTATTGAAAACCCTTTAAAGTCACGTTAAACTTTAATGTAAGTTACTGAAATGTCATGCTTGTACTTAATAAAGTTTTTTTGAATTTTTACTTTTCTTTGTTCAATAATTTCATAATGGAGACAAATTATATAGCGCAATGCAAAATATTGTTCATTCATATCATTTTTATTAGCATTTGGCATCTTCGATATTGTTGTAATTATTAGAAAGTTAATAAATAGGCCAGACTTAAGTTAAACTTTAAAATAGACACTAAATATTATTTTTAAGAAAAGTACAATAACGATGGGCTTAAGTAGGGCTGGAGGCCATGCCAGATATTAGTTATGTTGAAAAACTAAAGGTAGCGCTACAGGTTCAAAGAGGAAATTATACTATACACCACAGATTACAACAAATATAAACAAGAAACATGAAAACAATGAATTAATTCTTCATTTAACAATAATAGATTTTAGAGATGTAGCTGCATACAGTGAAGTGGTCACGTTTTGTCAGGTGATGAGATGTTCCTGATTTGTGGCGTACCACAGCGCCCAGTCAATAAATCAGCCAGTAACATATTGTCGTTTGATAATTGCGCTCATTACATGCCTTTAATAAATGGAAGTAGGTACAAGCGAATGATACATCTTTTTTTTATTTTGGCCTTCTCATTACAGTGTAATGTCACTCCTTTATTTTTTTTGCTGCTACATTTTAGAACAATGTAGTTTTACATGGTAGTACGTTCAAAAAGCCAGGCATAGGTCAATTTCGAAACTGTGGTTCTAATGAAATATTTAACTCGCCCAATGAATGAAAAGAACTACCAAAAGCTAAACGTTTATGTCTATCCAGTACAATATAAACAGTTGAATTGGTAGGAAGAACAAATCGTGTTAGACAAAGTTGAGCCACTAAATACTTAACACTGAATAAAACAGCCAAAGCGTTTCAAGTCAGTTTCGGTGTGAAAAGGCTTTTGCGTACATAACGTGCAACTTTGCTGTAACTTTGAATAAAATTCCATCAAATGTGAGTCAAGCATGCATACAGAAACTTTCCCCTCGCCTTCCTATGCAGACTGCACTGGGTTTTAAGTCGTTCAATAGATTTTTTCTAAAGCTATTTAGTTAATGGTTTTATTATAAAAGGACTTTTAATTATTCGAGTTATGTTTTATAGAAGAATTTATTTTTATTAATTGAATAGTATGAAGTCGTTCTGCAGCTGATATTTATTTTTATTATTTAGGATGACGTAAATCTTAAGTTGGTATTCTTATCTTGTTATTCTTATACTACTTATTGCTATTGTTTAGTATCAGGAACTGTGACCACTATACTATAATGCAGTATTTGAATAACAAAATACGTATCTATTAACTATTATCTTCTGTTTTCCACAGGATGGTGTCCTCCCACCTCATTACGCAATCCGTCCTGTAGGAGGTTTACACTTCGCAGGCGCAGAAAGAGTTCGACAAAAACTATTTATGCTACAACATAACAAGCCTGACGTTATCCCGGTCACAACCATTCATATTACGAGCAATGGCACAGATAGTGAAGCTGCTAGGAATAGTCAGAGAAACATTCCTACTACGAATGGGACAACCAGCAATGGTACAGCTTCAGTCATGAAAAGAAATGACGTCGAAGCTAATGGTGTTAGAACTACAGAACTGTTAGTCATATACTGTGATTCGTTATACAAGCTGGACTACACTTTCCTGCAGGTATGAAACTTTAATTTTTTCATAAATATATTTTTTTTAATATGGATTCTGTTCATGATAAATGAAAAAGGTCAACGACTTTATAGTCAATCACCTACGTCGAAAAATCTCATTAATTCTACCACCATCGTTTATGTTTATCCTGCTGTGTATCTATAAATAACACTCAAACGACAGATCGACGTGGAATGGGAAGGTACACAGATACAATCTGGAATCGATTTCCTAAAATAGTCATTAATTACTTGAGGTACAATCGGTCTGCGACACCCATAATCGTAAAACCAATCAACATAAGGATTACTGAATCCACATCCCACATATTGATACCCACGTGCGATAAATCAAGATATTAACACTCCACATATTCGTGTCGTGATAGAATTTCTACATAATATTATATTTAGTTTAGACCGTAATATTGTGTAGTGTAAGAAAATTGATTTGCTTTGGCGTCTGCTTACATACGTTGACATTTCTCGTACGAAGTTACAGCTAGTCTTTAGTTACTTCAGGTTTTAGATAATGATGTTGTAGTTTCGCCCGGTTCTGCTTTCGCATACAGGTTCGAAATTCTAATGGTATTTCCATTTTGTGTTATAGAAAAGAGTTAGCTACTTTTTATATAAATATCATTGCTAAGCATAGTGCCTCAAGTTTATTTTTTGATTCGATGTATTGTAATAATTAAGATTCCTATTTGAACATCTACAAAATTTACGATCGCGTCTTTTGTACGCACAGAAATATTATTAGTATGTCTATGGTTCTACGGTTTCATATGGAACAAAGTCATCTTTTACTTAACGCTAAATAACTGCGTTTCCAAATTAGCCCACGTCAACATGGAATATATAAAACTTAAAATATATTAAATCATTAGTACGCATAAGCCACAAATATACCCTTTTAGCCAATGTTAGCAAAACATGTTAGCAGTAATGATCACATAATGTTCAGAGTCGGGTCACTAGCTAGGCTAGGCATCATTTAACCATTCATTACGGCCAAATGGCTAGCTCATGTTTTACTGTTAAAGCTCATTTATTCTACATTTTAGCTTTTCTAATATTTTCAAAGTAGAATATAATTACCTATGCATTCGAATAGTGTTAATCTCAGTATTGTGTGAATATCAATCGTCTTTTTTGTCGTCTTGAAGACATGCTGACCCATTAGGGATTGGATGATTTCTAATTGCATGATGTATAGAAAGTTCCATGAATGGATAAATTTAGTCTTCGAACACATTGTTTGTGATATTTTTGTCATAAAGCTAATGAGTTAATTTTTTTGATTCGCTGAAATAAAATGTTCTGAAGCAATTTACCTGACTAGCAGTTAGTTACCTTATGTTATATTATACAACAAACAGAATACTTACATAAGTAAAATCATAGGACAGATCTTGTTTATTACATATAGGTATAATAAATTTGCCTTATAAGGACATTATAATATTTGGGCACAAACTTCCGCGTCGCGTAATAAGGGCGGAAAAGCAAATTATTATGATTGTTCAAATTAATTGTGTTTACTTTTAATTAATGTACCGGCCCGTGGCTGTTGGGTGTTGAATGAATTAAGAATTACAATGCATCAAAATATACACATTTTGGTTTTGGAGAAAATGGCCTCATGGATAATTTATTTTTATGAATTTTGTCTAGGTCAAATCTTATTATCACAATGAAAAAATCTTAACTGGAAATGGAAGTAACTTAATTTAATTGGTCTTGTGTAGAGAAAATCAGAACTGATGTTTTTATAAAACTATAAAATATGGAAATAGCGTTTAGAGGGTGTATATTTCTGAATCCCATTTTGACGCTACAAAAAATGTTAAGATTTTATATATACAAAGGATATGTGATCCCTATAAGGTCCGTTGACGATATTACACGTCTATCGCGGTTGGTCAAGTGGAACCTCCATATTCTATTTTCGGGGTTGTTATCACGAAATTATCCCTCCACCGAGTGAGTTTTAGTTGAACGACCTTAGACAAATCACGTGTAAGATATTTTATCTTGCTGACTAGTGAATTAGAAATATAATCCCGTATAATATACGATAGTTAATTATGACTTGGATATTTTATATTTACCTACCTGAAATTTCAAATGGATTTATAAAAGCAAACGAATAATATAATGGACTGAATATGAGTGCACTAACATTATTTAATAAATATTATCAAAATCTCTGCCAGCGTTCTGGGGAACCAAATTATCGTAAATGGATTCTCTTAAAATATTATGAATAGAAGTGAGCCTTGGTTTCGACTTAAAGCCTTTGATGGAAAGTCATTATTTGGATTTCCATTGAATCAATCGGAAATAGGAAAATGTAATACCAAGAAAACTAAAATACAGAATGTTTTTTGTGTACCTAAATTGGAATTATCTGTGCCTTTTGTGAAAAAAAATGGGGAATGAAAGGGTCGGTATCACGCACTTACGTAGGCAGGTACCGAGGACTCTTTATCTTGGAAACTTGATCCACAAAGTACTATTCTGAGAAACGGAAAGCCACCTTTAGTAATAAACTGTTTATACTATATCTGTACTTACTTATTCTTCTTATCAGCCGATACTTCGAGGTATTGATGGATAAGCTGACTATTAAATATGCCCATCTTTACATAAAAACATCGTCCGTATGCCCTACGATTTAGTCCAAAAACAACAAAAAATTGTTTTATTATTCGAATATGTTTAAGTAATGTTCACTTCACACTATGATATTATTTCACAGTCATGTCTTTTTACTGTAATGTTTATGATTATTTATTAAAACGTATTCAACCTTATTAATATAGAAAAAAGTAATTGGCATCCTAAACCAAAAGCTAAACAAATTGACCTTAATTTAGTCATATGCCAAAAGATATCCAGCTAAATCAGGGTGTATAAAATTAGCGTCAATTTAATATTCCATTGACCGCAAACCACAACGTCAAATCACATGCAATGTTGATGTGGCGACCGCAACCAGAGTTAAAACGTATAATAGGCGCGGTACTTGCTGCAAATGTTATTCATATTTATGTGCTCTGATATTTGTACTTTTTATATTATATACTTCGTTTATCTGTTCTCTTACATGCTTATTGGTTTGTGTAGTTAATAGTGTTTAGATATCCCGTCTTGGTTGGGCGTTTTTGATTTGCGAATAAACAATTTACACTGTTTCAGATTTTGTAATTGTCAGTAATTGAAAATTGATCCGGTAGGTACTGTCGTATAGGACCTGGAATTTGACAAATTAATGTAAAGCTACGACATGGCTTGTCCTAATTTTGTGACAGATCTAAAAAAAGCCGAAGTAATTTGAAGTGGGGAGTAAAAGGGGTAATGTTCACCTTTGTCAGAAGTAGATTTTATCAAAAAGTTCAGGCCACGGCGCCGTACTGTATCCACGGTGTATGTGCATAATTTAATTTTATAATTTTATGTACAAAGTTGATATAACTTTTATGGATGTTACTTGTTGGACGGTGGTGTTTTATAGGGTCATTATATTGTTCCGCGCTGTGCGGGCTGGCTCCATTTAAAGTGCCCATTGGAACATCGAACACGATTCGTATTTACTCTTTATTAAATATAATATTATTTTGGCTATATTAGTGTGCTCCATTGCAGTTTATATGGCAAAAAAGTCCGGTTTATAGAGGTTGTGTCGCCTAATCAACAAAAAAAAAGCTGCACAGCTTAACTAAAATATTTATTACATTATTTATAAAACTTGTGTGGTGAACTTTTTATGCACTAATCCTAAAAGTTGATCATAATTCCTCGGAGTACGAAATCATATTGGTTTTTATATATTAATTCAGAAGAAGGTTATAGGCTATGAAAAATCAGTCTGGAATGGAGCATTCGTGTGAAACTGCGGGCGGAGCTAGTTTATTAAAGTATACCTAACCCCATCTAGACTTGAGATCGGTACCTCGCTATAAACCCGAGTTTTATCTAATAATATAAAATCTTGATTCCTAGAGGAATAGTAGAACGAAGTTACGAAGGCTATACGGGTAAAATATTTGAACGTTAAAATACATATTTGAAAGCTTTCAATATTAAAGTTAATGCAAGTTAGGCAAGTTCGACTTTTCTTTTACGTAGTACATTCTCATTTGGAGTTTTTATTGACAGACACGTAACAGCTGTTATCAATTTATCAAACAATAAGTACTTAGGGCTTTATGAATATTAATGAGAGTTTCACTGTTTTCCAATGTGTGTAGGTAGTTAGGTAGGTACCTACAGCATGAGTTTTGCTAAAGTTTGCCATTTTATAATCTTGAACTAAGAATGTTCTCATAAACATTGTTGCCATAAGAAAATTAAATGCTCTTGTTGTTTTTAACAATAAAGATTACATTGAATAGAAAGTTTTCTTAACGATGAAGGTATTGAATATTCAATATAATAAGCGGGTCTTAAGTAAAACTAGTCTCTGCGTTTTACATGATAATATTTTCTTAGCTCGTCTTCACCTTAAGATTCTGTTTAAAAAGCCATTATTGAGAGCTTTGAAGTTAGAATACAGAATTATTCGTATCTACATTCTAAAAAGAAGCAAGTATACAGATATTTTAATAAAAATACCTAAATAAATAACAGCATCAATTAAAATTCTAAGAAACTAAAAGAACTTTATCATGTTATTCAAAAAAAGATATTCATTTTTGTTAATTATTGTTCTGTAAAAAGGATCACCTTGATCATTTCATTTACCTAAAAGAAAACCAAATAAATGAAGATCTGAATACTTACTAAAAGCTGTTTTTTTATTTGTCTTAGAATTAAATAGCTTTATTATCCATTTTAAACATTGAAAAGAAATATATAACATCACGCCTTTTATCCTTGAAGGGGTAGCCAGAGGTGCACATTACGGCACTTGATGCGACTTTGCAATGTAACACCCACTTTTCACTATTTATGTTATGAGTCCCATGTGACGCGGGAATCGAACCCGAGACCCCTTGCCCAGCAGTCGCACTTGCGACCACTCGGCCAATGAGGCAGACGAAAATAAATATCTTGATTTTTTTCTTAATATTTTAATCACACACGTTACAATACTCCATGTTTTCACTTTGTTGTTCCAGAGCATGAAAATGTTAGTACAGGACTGGTCCCGTGTAGGACGAGTAATTTGGTGTAACGCACGGCCGGCGGTCAAAGAGCAACTGTCTGAAGTGCTTCCAGAACCTATATTCTGTGACAGCAACCAGTTGAAACCCTTCCTCAAAGGTAAGTAGAAATCGTCATACATGCATTTTTGATATTTATTTTACTGTTTAAAGATAAAGATAGTTTTCTTTGTTTAATATGAGATTATATTACATACAGAATTCATGCAAGATATTATAGAAGATATAAGTACATTCAATATACTTATATTTCAATATACTTATAATTCAGTATACTTATTTAGTTGCTCAATTCAATCATAGTTTTTTCTTTAAAGGACTTTATTAATACCAAACCACTCATGTTACCTGTATTTCATATTCAGCCGAAAGAATAACAAATCACAGTAAGAATATTAAACATTATGGAAATTCTAATTAACATGCGCACTTGATCCCGATGTTATATCCCGTGAGCGGTTAATGTCACTAAAACAGTGTAGCATTTCAATAGAACGTCCAATATTAATCAGTTACGCATAAATTTCATTTAACAATTGAAACGCAGCGTTTCGAAATAATAACGCGTGTTACTCAATGAAATAAATGAAAATAGAAACGTTACGCTCTGGAATTACTTTCATAAAGATTGTAATATTACATTTCATTAGCGTATAAATTATTATTGTAGTTCTCAACTCGTGTTTTGTTCATGAACATTATTACTTACATTATTGTTTTTTTTTTCTAAGAAATGAAGCACGTAGCGTTCACTCAGTTGTCCACGGTCCTATCGTAAAAGTTAATGGGGAAACTTATGATATTTGTGCTTTGGAATGACGTCAAATGTAGGAACACTTTTGTATGATATTACGTACCTGAATCTTTGGCGTCTTCCTATATATACCAATTTCTTCTTGTGTGAAATGTGGACAACATTCTATGGGATTAAGTAGATGTTAAATTCAATAGTAAGTACACCGTATCGTCACAAATACAGACGAGTAAAAAGTCCATTACTCACACAGTCGGATAAAAAGAATGATGATATAGAACTCGTTTGCCACAGAGTAAAACTTTTGAAAGCTCTATAAACATAACTCATTACTTGGCAGTTGAACGTGACATATTGATAGTACGGTATGGTTTATTAAGCATTATTGGAATCACGCCAATCGGTGGTTTAATATGCAATCAGAATAATTCGTTTGGCGGACAAATTATTTCGATTGCATCCCGCAATACAATGACGTTCAATTTTCAATTTAACATAATTGTTGCAGGTTCGGCCGAGGAATCACAAACTATGAATAACGATACTACAGCGTTTTAATGTTTAGCATTAAGGAATCTTTAATGTGTTTTATGATATCAAATTGGATAGTAGCGGCCAGTTTCAATAACCTATTTATCTGTACTAGAAATAGAATTTTGACACATTTTGTATGGAGTTTATGTCATTGAAACTGGCCATTGACTTTTATAGAGGGACAAATTGTATGTATATGAATATGATGGACTCAAATAGTAAAATGTTTTGCTCGACCAAAGGGTCTAGTGCAAGATTTTTTACGTTAAGTGATCGTAATGTTATATAGCCCTCTGATTGATCAGTTAACTTGAAACTTGTCAATCAGAGAACGTCACGTGTTGATCGCGCGCTAGGCCCTCCGTAGGGTTTTGGTGTGTATAAGAAATGTCTTGGATATAATATTATAACGATATTAGATACATAAATACAAACAAAAAAAATAGTAATAAATGGTAGGTAAATAAAATGGTTTTATGAAACGGCAGTGTTAAAATTTTCCGCTGGACGGAAAATTTATAGTCTTAAGAAGTCGTTTGAAAATGAATTTAATTTATATAGAGATCTTTTATTTACGTATAGATCTTATTGTGATGTTTAGTTTAGACGTTTGATGATGTGCGTAGCTGTACTATAAATAATTCAATTTTTAAATTGTATTATTTGAACTATGAAAAATGGACTAATGAAATGAACACCTACGTCCTACTTATGAATAAATATTATATATATTCAGTTTCAGTAAACTATCTTCATAAATACAATACCAACTGTGATTAATTTTACCATTTAGATTTAGCTCTTAATGTAATTCGTGTAAGGTGTACTGTTCAGTTACCTGATAAGTGTCAATCTTGAGTCAGTTAACTGTTATGTATTGTAAATAATGTATGTACGTATGTGTATAATGATTATTATTATTGTATATGTTGAGGTTCTTATAAACTAATAAAAACTATTTCAATATTATTGTTGTTTTATTATTCTATGATTTCTGCTTTGACTGGATCTGGGAATCAGTTCTTAGGAAACTGCCCTCTATATACCAAAATTTTGCCTTTAATTGAAGACATTGGGTTCTCATTTTTAAGTATGGAATGAGACCGAGGTCTCATAGTCAGCCAAATTCAATGATAAGTAAATAGGCGTGGATAGGTTGTAAACGCTCAGAAAGTGACATATTAAATCTGGATCACACTACCTCCGAGTTGCATTGCGATGTCAACGTATGTGCGTTAGTGCGCCATTTTTAAAGATTGAATGTACTTTAGATACCGTAAAACAAGGTGAATACAATTCAAAGGGTGAATAGTGGTCGAACGTCGGCTTATCAAATATATATATATTAAAATAAATAAGTACAGGAATGGGGGAACAGATATTAGAAAATTTTCCCAACATTTATTTACCCCTCGAATCTTATTAACCCCGTTTTACTGTAACCTATCTATACCTTTTTACTTATAACGTCATTGTAGTCAGCAGTCACATTTACGATTGCTTGTTGTTTTAACTATAGAGTCTAAAATAAAACTAAGACAAGTGGAAACTAATAAGTACCTTCTATCTCCTCCAAAGATAACATTGGATTTTTGTTGGATTTAAGACTTACTCTCTAAGATTATCTAGACACCACGATTATTTAGACACTACTGACAAACGGTGAAGAAAAACATCGTGAGGAAATCTGGGCATAATTATTATTTTTAATTATAAGTTTATAATCGCCAACCCGCATTGAGTAAGCGCGGTGATTAATGCTCAAACCTTCTCCGTGTGAGAAGAGGATTTTGGATTGAGAGGATTTTGATTGAGGATTTGTTCTTCTATAAATATGTCACTATATCTACCATCTACTGCCGCGCGATTTTAGCCGCTCTGATCATCTCCTATTGATCGTAGCTTGATATTTATCGTTTTATTAATCGTAGCATAACGCCTACCTTGATAAATGGGCTTTTGAATATAAAAATAATTACTCAAATTGGACCAGTAGTTCCTGAGATGAGGGCGTTTAAACAAACAAAACCTCAGCTTTATATAATAAGTAAGTACGAATAATATAAGATATGAATATTAATAGAATATTTTCACCTAACAATCAATGTAAGATGAAGATTAATAGAGGTGTACCTACTGCATCGCCTACAAAGTTGCATTGTCTGTGTAGCCCTCCAGCAAATCACTGCACGTAATTGCAATGGTTCTGTTGTTTATTTATAATTAACTGTATAATATTAGATATTATTGTAGTATTACGAATATGCAAGCCCATGTTATTATAATTATTATATGCGCATGTAGTTTTGACGTCTGATAATAATAGGAATATTTTCCATAAATCATTGCTGGGTAAACGACCGAAAACGAATATTCATTAAATAGAGTGAAATATGTCCACATACATATATTGTATACTAATACATAAAACCGAACAATTTGTTTGTTTGAATGCGCCAGTCTCGGGAACTATTGGATCGAATGGAATAATTATTTTTGTGTTGGTTAGTCTATTTATCGAGAAACTAGTAAGGTACAAAAATAATATGAAACATCACGCTACCGTCAATAAGAGCCGAGCTACGGGCTAGCTGGCTAGTACATCTTACTAATATTATAAAATGATAATGTTTGTGAGTTTGTCTGTATGTTTGTTACTCGATCACGTCAAAACGGCTGAAGGGATCGAGATGAAACAGGAATTACTAGAACAGGACTACTTTTTATCCCACAGGAACACGGGCAAAGCCGTGGGCAGAAACTAATATTGAATATGGGGAAAACGTATAATAATGCATTTGTTATGACATACATAAATCCTATAGTCTGTCATTGGTCGCGGAGAACCTAACGGGTAACCGGGGCTCCGGCTCGACGTGCAGGAGAAGGAACGGGGTGGTTTTTAGTCAGTAAGAGTCTGACACACCCTTCCGCCTCACCCAGGCGGGAGCAGTCATTCGATGATTTTCCCAACTTAAAAAAAAAAATAGTCTGTCATTGACCAGCAATGGACCTACATACAAGATGTTTTGTTCATCTGATTGACATATTTATGAAAGAAGTAAAAGAGGCATATTTATTTGTACGATTTGGATGATAAAATCGTCAAACATAGATATGTACCGGTGAAAGTAAACACCGTAGGTTCTCAGACTACTGTAATTTCATGTCAAATTGACTTGGTCCCATCAGGAAATGCGACCATTTAATGAAATACTTTGAGCATTTCATTACCTATCATATCTGCATATCTACGATGTGACCACTACGTAATATTATGACTGTAGGTATATTAAAAAAATGTAGGTATAAATGGATTCTAAGTATTATTACAAAGACTGCGTAACCAATGAACAATAAACCATTTATGATTAATCTAAATTAAATGCTTATTATAAATTTAATACCTACGTTTAAATATTACTAATCTTTTGATTTGACGATGAAGGTAGATTAACATACAACCGTAGGGTCAATTATAATGTAGGTACTAAGGAATACAGTGAAATGGCGTACATGGGCGTATATCCATTATATAGGGTCGTAAAGTCTAACAGTAGGTATTGGTTATTGCAATAAAATAAAAATTGAGTGACAATTATTGTTATTATTCATTCAAGTAAAGTAACTGTATCCATATCCATGCATAGTTTAATGAATTTTACTGCTCATTAGAACAATCGGTTGTGCTCATTAGCGTCACCTGTGAGATAAGTCATTTGATTATCGGGGTCCTAAATACGAGTATATAAGAAACATGTTCTTGGTTGAAACTCACAGTATACTAAAACTTTGTAGTAGTTTTACCTCACTACAAAGATGCGTTCCATCAATATTGTGTTGATACTCGCTGTGGTCGCAATAGTAAACGCGGCACCTGCGGATAAAGATAAAGTAAATGATAAACCATATTACGATATAAAAAAGTCTGCAGAATTGTTTGAGAAGTACATCAAAGACTACAATAAACATTACAAGGATGAAGCTGACAAAAAAGTGCATTACCTAGCTTTTGTTGAGAGTTTAAAGATAATCAATAAATATAATGCAGAGAGCGACAGTGCCGTATTCGATATTAATTATTTGGCTGACTATACCAAAGAAGAGATGGAAAAAATGCATGGATTACGCAGTAAGTACAGCAATTGTTCTTCTAAGTTTGGGTGTGATGTATGAATGACGTTTTGGGTTTTACAACGCACCCATGATACATAAGAAATCATAGCTTTTACTTATTATATTCTTTTGGTTGCTGCTACAGCTCTGAGAGCATGGTCTCAGAGCTGTAGTAAGGTGTGTAACATACCTTACTGCAATCAATTTAAATTGTGGTTCCTCGTCAACAATGAAAAAAACGCACATATTATTGCGTGTTTATGATTTTTGACCAAATATCAGAACAATCCAAAATAACTGATGGCTAAATTACTGAGTACTTATGACTTATCAACTAGTACCTTGTGTAGGTAGTATCTAAATTAGGTATTGTGCTGATTGTCTTAAACTAATTTTAGTTTGATTTTCCTCTTTCCAGTTCGATTATACTAACACGCTATATTCGCCAACTGATGAAACATTACTAGAAAACTAACTTGTCGATGTGGGTTAAAACTTGATGATAAATAATGCTATTTCAAATTATATGTTTATATTTATTTCTTGACAAATCCTTTTATAAACAACAATAATGAGGATTGATAGAAAAAAAACGATTTACATATACTCCGTCTGTTTAGGTAGTTAACTATTTGTAAACAAACCATAAAAAGAGTTCTTTATAGTTGACATTTCCATGATTCAAAATACTTCATAAGAAAATAAAATTGTTTCCCTTTTTACGACAGTTTTCTCTATTAAATGTTATGTTTCTGTTCCTTTTCACTTATTTCTTAGTAAATATTATATATATCTGCTTGAGGATATTAATTTAATAACATTTATTAAATAATATAATATTTCATTACAATAGACACCATAAAGAGCCTAAAATCCCAGGTATCCAAAACCCTTCTTTAAGAACGAAGCAAAATAATGTTGTCAAATTAAAGAGTATTACTAAGATGTAGCGCGACAATGAAAGTAGCGTGTATTACGTTTAGTCGGTTAATCAGGCGCCATTGACAGCTCTCTCGTCGTTTGCGCTCGCATTCCGATTTTGTTGAATTTACCTTGTTTCTTTGTTTTGTTTTTGTTATTAAGTTATTTAAGTTTAGGTTATTCATCGTTTGTAATTAATGTGTTGAAATATATTGAAGAAACTTGACCCAAAGACACATCCGTACGAGAAAGAAATCCGTACATCAGATTCAGAATAGTTTCTATTTAAACATGATAATGAAATAGACCCATAGGCTAGGCTCTTGTACGATTTAGGCATTTGTACTTGTATGTGTGTGTATGACAAATGAACAATTTTAAAGTGAATTTAGTTGAAATTAAAACACGAGAAATATTTGAAGTAATAGTAGGTTAAGTATCTCTGTGTCACGTGGTTTTCTTTGTTTACCTTTAGTTAATTACCTAAACAGATGGACTATAGGTATAAATTAAATGAACAACGAACCTCGCAGGATCGTATTGCATGCATCGTACCGTATGCAACTACTTTTGTTCCACGACTTTTCAAAATGCATCCACGTTAGAAGTAAAATAATAGGCTGACACTGATTTTAAATCAGAAACTTTGATTATAACAAATTCTTGTCAACTTACATCCTGCAGGGAAAATCAAAAAATAAAAACAAAAAAGCAAAAATTAAGTATTATTAGTAGGTACATAGGTTATCCACTCACTAACAGGTTAGAAGTCCTAATCAAAATTATTTATTAAAACCTTAATTAGATACCTAATAAAGCTGTTTAAAATTTGTGACCATTAAGTAACATGATTTTATTCGTCTATCAGTGGGTGGGTAACCTATCAGTAATAATCATCGTTATATTTTGCTTTTTAGTTTTTGTTTGTTTTTTGACGCAGTTTTTATTTTTTATTTTATTTATTTTAGTGTGAAGTTACATAGACCCGTTTACCCACTTATAATCCACATAAGCGCAAAGTTTAAATCAATACAAATTATACAAGACCAAACACAAGGTAGGTAGTATAAACCTAAATATAAATAAAATATAAACTAAATATAAATAAAAACAAAATAGTATAAACCGTTGAGGAGTTCCCTCCACTGTCTGTCGGTTCCATCATCAAGTCAACTCCAGATTTTGATATTTTACGAACTTAGTTTTTAAAAATTCTTATTGAAAAACACAATAGACGCATTACTCGCCCCTACAATTTTCGAGAGTTTCCTCGGTTTCCTTAGGATTGCAACATCAGATCCGGACCTGATGAAAATGGGACCCTTACGGGAGTATAATCTTTAAAAGAAAAAAAAAAAAAATTGGAAAACAATTCATAAATGGCGGAGCTTTGTGGTGAAAAAAAAGAAAAAAAAAACGATCATCCGAAGATGATACCTTCTCCTTTTTTTGAAGTCGGTAAAAACTACCAGTTATGATGAAATTCATTGGCTTTTCTGAAGAATGAAGTTGAGATAAGAAAATTGATTTAAAATTCAATCAAAAATAGTCATTAACACTTCTCCATATGCTATTGTTAATGAATTACATTTGATAAATGTATTAGAACCGTAAAGGTCGCTCTTCTACGTCTCTTCTATCATATATTATTGTCAATGTTACGCTAATGCGATAGAATTTACTGATTGGGTCCATATATTCACACAGAGGTTTTATTACATATTTCTCGTGTGGTTTATCATTCTAATGCTCATGTGGATTTGTTATGGGCATGGCTGTTAGCGTCGCCTGTATTACCTATATAGTAATCATTTAACCATCGATGACCTATACACGAGTATATAAGTGACATGTACTTGGATGGAACTCACAGTACACTAAAACTTTGTAGTAGTTTTAACTCCACTACGAAGATGCGTCTCATACATTTTGTATTGGTACTCGTTTGGTCGCAATTGTTAACGCGGCACCCGTGGATAAAGATAAAGTTACAGACAAAAATAAAGATAAAGCCACAGACAAAGTTAAAGATAAAGTGAAAAGTAAAGCTAAAGATATAGTTAATGATGATGTAGATAACGATGAACCCGCGGATAAAGACAAAGATAAAGTTACAGATAAAGATAAAGTTAAAAATAAAGTTAAAGATGAAGTTGATGATGATGAAGTTAATGAGAAACCACATTACGACATAAACAAAGCTCCAGAATTGTTTAAGAAGTACATTAAGGATTTCAATAAGCACTACAAGGATGAAGCTGATAAACAAGTGCACTACCTCGCATTTATTAATACTTTAAAGCAAATCAATGAATTTAATGCAATTAGCACTACGGGCACATTCGATATTAATTATTTAGCTGACTATACCAAAGAAGAGATGGAAAAGATGCACGGACTACTGAGTAAGTATCATTGTATAATAACTATCGTGAGACGTACTAAAGTAACTTTGTTGAAAACTAGCCTCTGACAGCGGCTTCTCACGCTTTCTCGTGGGATAAAATGTAGCCTTTGTCTTTTTAACCGACTTCAAAAAAAGGAGGATGTTCTCAATTCGACCGTATACATGCTTTTTTATGTTTGTTCACCGATATCTCCGTTATTTATAAACCGATTTGGATAATTATTTTTTTGTTAGAGAGGAGATAGTCCCAGAATGGTTCCATGATAAAGAAATTAGGATCTAATGATGGAAGACCAGGGAAACCGAGGGGAAATTTTAAAAATTGTAGGGGCGACTAGTGCACTTGTTAATTTTTTTTTTTAGTATTCAAAACCACTACAATCTGATAAAGGTCTGGAGTCGATCTGACGATGGAGCCGAGAGCCAGTCGAGGGAACTTCTCAACGGTTAACAGTAGCTACCTTGTGTTTACGTTTGATTAATTTTAATTGATGAGGGCTTTACACCTAGGTGAGGTGTAATTGTCAATAAGGGTCTGATGACGAAGTAGTACGATAGTTGAGGGAACTCCTGAACGGTTACCAGTAGCTATGTTGTGTTTGGGTTTGATCATTTGTATTGATGGGGACTTTACACCTTGATGCGATGTGATTGTCATGAAGGGTCTGATGATGAAGTAGTACGACAGTTGAGGGAACTCCTCAATGTTTAAGAGTAGCCACCCGGCGGTTGAGTTTGAATAATTTGTATTAATGGAAACTTTGCATATATGTGGGTTGTGTATGATATAATATATCAAAGTACTAAACTAAAAAGAATAAAAAAAATTCAAAAAACTGCGTTTAAAAAAACCGCCTTCAAAAACTAAAGAAACAGTAAAAACTAAAAAGGAAATAAATAACTATTATTGGTCATACGTACTTATAGCTTACACACCCACTGATAGGTTAGAAGTCGGTGCCACAAACCCTTAACAAAATATAAAGTAGTTAATGGTCACAGCTGGTATAATCCATAATAAAATTGTAAACAGCTTAATAATGTTAGGTATCTATTTAGGTTTTAATGAATAATTTTGATTAAAACTTGTGGCACCGACTTCTAACCTATCAGTAGGTGTGGAAGCTATAAGTACGTATGACCAATAATAGTTATTTATTTCCTTTTTAGTTTTTACTTTTTGTTTGTCTTTAGTTTTTGAAGGCGGTTTTTTTAAACGCAGTTTTTTTCCAGACTTTAATCTAAAATTGTTCCAAATTTCATCCCGATTCCATCAGCTAACATAAAAAATAATAATATTAAGTAGGATAATTTACTCACGCTATAACTGATAAAGGCTCTACTTAGAGCTTTAGTTATGTCATTCCACGTGAGTCAATCGCACTAGTACCTACTAGTTTCAAATCATAATGGGACTCTGACTGGGCTGCACGACGTTGTCATCGTATCTACCGCCGACCGCGTCACCTACGAAATTCCGTATAAAATGAGAAAAGAAATATATCCACATACCCATCTTGTATACTGACTCTATTAAAGTTTTTATTATTGTTTTTTTTTCCTTTCCAGTTCCAACAACAACACCATCTGTAGTTTACTGATGATACATACTAGAAAACGAACATATCGACTTGGATTAAAACTTGACAATAAAGAATAATATATCGCTTTGTATATATATGTTTATTTCTTAACAAATCTCCTTACGGTTAGTTTTTTATGGTATAGATTAGTAAACGAGCGTCGAGCTGATGGATCACCTGATGGTAAGTTATTGCATTGACCCATGTACACCTAAAGCTCTATGGAAGTTACAACAGGGCATCTTAAATAGAAATCGATTCACGTGAGTCTACTCTATTTAACTATTGTTGATTATATCGTTCATATAATAATAATCCTCCATGCCGGTTTCGGCTGCGGCGACCGTTTCATGACTACTGGTGTCTTATAATGGGCTCTCATGTGGCTGGAAAATCCACTTTTGTTAATAAATATTCTTCCACAGAGATACTTATAATATTATAAATATATATATATTAATGTATATGTATGTCGCAGAAATAATACAGTTTTGATTATGAATTAGAATTAATGCACCATTTCGTGCATCGTCGGTTTTCTTTATGGTTGGAGGTGGCATGTCCATGATACAGCAACCATGTCAACACAATGGACGCAGCTACCTTTAGCGACCTATCGAATTATCGATTCCACGATTTTATAACGTTGTCATCATTTTCGATTTTGTTTATCAAAGAGGATGGAGGTCATCGATTTTGTGATCGATTGAGTGGAGATTGTGAGATAGTATAACGAGTGGTAAGTAGCATAGGCTACTTTTTCTAACCCCACATTTCCCTGGGGGGTTGCAATTTTCCAATTTTCAAAGTATAAATCTAAAAACCTATACAGATAACGTGTGACCAGTAAAAAAATCGTGCCCTATTATCTGTTTGTTTGTAAACCTGCCTCTAACTCTTTAAAAGAGCGCAAGCAAAGCCACGGGCAGAAACTAGTCCATGAATAAAATATAATCTGTTATCTTAAATTCGTATTTTTTTCTTTAAATCCTATACAGTGTAGCCTATATGATGACCCGCATATTCATATTCATGCAATATTAGAAGTAAATTCGTTCAGTACTTTTCGAGTTTATCCCAGATATACATACAGACAAACAGAAAATGTTCTAAAAACTATTTTATAGCTTTAATATCGATTTTAGATCACGCCCCAAGTGTTATAAAAAATAGCCAACGTACAGTTTTGTTTTTCCTCTGCTTGTATATAGAATTATACATGTGTTAACGAAGTGTTGAAGATTTATTTGGAGTCTATAAATAAGATGATCAACTGGAGTTACTACTGGCGATTTAAAGTATGTAAGTACCTAAGCATATACTTAAATATGGAGAAATGTACGTTCAGAGAAGGATTTAATTAAAATGCATTTTTGCGTCGTTACCTTCAATAATTGAAACAACTTTAATACACAAAGATACATTTTTTCGATTGATAGTATTGTTTCCACTATTTAACCATGAAATAAAGTATTGTACTACTAATGCATTTACTAACATACATAATTGATTTCCATGCTTAGTATAAAAACATAGGCACGTAGTATTAGGACGCACACGGTTATGACGCGATTGTTTGTTGGTAAACTTATAACAATTTCATAAGCAATACGGAGCTTCCAATATTTTATTAAACTGCCATCTCACGCACGCAGTACATTGCAACTTTGAAACAAAGAAACAAGTTCCCTGTCACGTTAACAATGCGTTTCGTCAGTGTCGTGTTAATTCTCGTCGTGGCCACAATGGTGAGCTCGGCGTCCGCTATAGACTTCAGTCTTCTCTCAAAGCACCCTTACGACATAGAAAAGGCTGATGAACTCTTCGAACTATTCATGAAAAAGTACCAAAAGGTTTACACGAGTGAAGATGATAAACAAGCGCATTTCCAAGTGTTTGTGGAGAACTTGAAGAAGGTCAATCAGATGAACGAGGAGATCTTAAAGAACAACGATTCATAATTAGTAACTAATTTACAGTCTACTCTAAGGAAGAAATGACAAATATATTTGGTTTAAGATGTGAGTAGCCATGTTATATTACCTTAGAGTTTTGGTCACTGCCTTGTGTTTATACTGTATTAAGCACGAGTTCAAATCATGTCGCTTTAATTAGACCAACTAAATATTTTTTTAACTTCCAATTCGAAAGATAGAAGTGAACTCGATCGTGGTCGCCGGGGCGAAAGTTCGAATTGGCAGTTACAGAATAGCCTAGTAGAAAGGCGTTTTGGACGAAAAAAAATCAGTCCTCTAGTTAAGCTATTTGCTTGTTCCAAAGTGTAGAATCCCATGGAGAAGAACGAGCAAGGAACTCCATAGGTTATTCTTTTTCAATCGGGTTCACAAATCAATTCTTATTTAAATTGTTTCCTTGATTCAATTCGGTATGTGTTTGGTTTCGAAAGTTAGTTGTTATTCATTAATGTTAATGGATATTTATGCCGGTGGATGTAGTTGCAGATATAAATAACAAAAATGTGTTTTTTTTCTTTTCAGTGCCAGAGCAGTAAACGAAGTAGTTTTGTGATGCAAGAAAACTTATACTTTATATTTATATTTTTAAAATAAATGTAGTTTCTGTCTATAACACATTTTCGTTTATTTTTATTCAAAACACATTGGTCACTATGTTTTCCCAGTAAAGTCGAAAATCCTTTAAATGTGTTTTTGATATGCTGCTGGCTAAACCTCGATCGGATCATACGACTGTGGTATATATGATGCAGGTTATCCAAATTATTTATGACAAAAACATGGTTTTGTGGTGATCAACCCTTGATTTAAATGGTTGGCTTTCAAATTTATAGATATCGTCACTAAATGGGGTTTAAATATCGATATTCGATAGTCGGATACCTATTAGTTTAGTGATATTTTTTTTAATGGAATGGCATTGTTCTGGCTTATAAATTACACCCTAAGTCTTGCGAATTAGCGGTCACTAGACCAAAGGAGCTGGGCTCGCTGCCATTGCAGCGGTAAGACCCCTCTTTGAGGAGTGGCTTGAGAGACGCTACGGCGTCCTCACCTACCGCCTGACGCAGATCCTCACCGGACATGGAAGTTTCGGGAGGTACCTGTGTCTGATGGGGTGGGAGGAAACGCCCGGGTGTCATCACTGCGAGGACCGCCCTGAAGACACGGTGGAACATACTGTAGCGGAATGCCCTGCGTGGGCAACCCAGCCATCGCGAAGGACACACCGGGCGTCGGGGATCGCAGGACGATCTCCGGAAGCGCGGGCCTGCGGACGGCGAGCAAGGGTGGCTCATCAGAAACAGACCCGAGCGTACGGTGCGTCGCGTACCGCGCGCGCCTCAAAGAGCCATCCGACCACCACAGATGGGGCCCAATAGGGCCGATGCCGATTCGGAGTCGCGGAGAACCTAACGGGTAACTGGGGCTCCGGCTCGACGTGCAGGAGAAGGAACAGGGTGGTTTTTAGTCAGTAAGAGTCTGACACTCCCTCCCGCCTAACCCAGGCGGGAGCAGTCATTTGATGATATTGCCCCCTTAAAAAAAATGACCAAAGGAGCGGTTAAGGACCTTCAAAAACTTTTTGAAAATGGAATGCCTTCACCTAATCCCAGAATCGGATGTACGCAGTATTCTATCGCAGACAGTTTACTTATTTTCTTTCGTCCACAACACATTATGCATGCAAATAAAACTAAAAACTTTCAAATAAACTATGACTAGAAGACAAGAGATTGTTTATTTATACATAACCAAACAGGTGCCGAATAAATAACAAAATTTCATACTTTGCAAAGTAACTTGTCTAGATTAACGTCATGAAGAGAGGCATCCGAGTTACGCGAGCAACGAGTAAAATATAAAAATTTCTGAGAAAACCGTGTATTCCGTAAATAAACAAGACTGAAGAGGTTTAGACAAAAAGGTACATAACCGACCTATTATGAAATTGCTTAGAAAAATGTTTTGTGGATATATTTTTATTTCGGAACGTTTAATTTGTATAGAAGTTGCTTTTTATATAGACCATGTAGGTAGTCGACTCGAGAATATTTTTGTTGATTAAGGCTAAAAGAATATTTTTAATTCATATAAGTAAATTTAGGTTTTGTACTGATATATCTATGTGCTAATCTTAGGGAAAACAAGGGAAACTTTCGAAAAGTAACACATCTGTTATATTTTCTAATAAATATTTTTAAGTACTACCTCTACAATTTTATAAGGGTCTGGAGTTCTGGACTGGAGTAAATCTGATGATGGAACCAACAGACAGTCGAAAGAACTACTTAACGATTAACAGTTACTACCTTGGATTCGAGCATAATTAATTTGTATTGATTGGAACTGTCATTAAGGGTCTGATGATGACGAAGTATAATTGATAAGCGAATTTGAGGCATTCGAGGACGGTTAACAGTAGCTACCTAGTGTTTATTTAGTGATTAGATTTTGGCATCTACATATGTGGATAATCCACATAAGTGCTAAACCCCTACGTAATACAATGGGTGTCTGTAGCTTCTTACCTAAAAAGAAAAAAGAAAAAAAATGCGTTTACAAACAACGACTCTGTATACCTTCTGATAGGTCACCCACCCATTGATAGGTTCGAAGATGATTCCACAAGCTCCTAACAAAATAATATAGGTACCTATTATAACTTCATGGCACCTAATACAATATTAAGGATTAAGGATTTAATGAATAATTTGGTTAGTTGAAGTGACTCGAAACTTCGACTAGGGAACTAAATTCGAATGTGTTTACTTTCGAAATAAGTTCTTTTCCTTATGTGAACTTCCATATTGAATTGGTAGGTATGTTACAGAATCACATCGTTCTACACCTCGAATGAAAACTCGCATCTTGAAATCTCTATATAATTATATATGTCGGAGAAACATTGTCATCGCCGACATCGTCATTAGTGATTGCGGGCTTAGTGATGAGCACAAAACACAATGATCACAATAAACACTATTTTAATTTAGATGGTATCAATTACTTTATCTGTTTCACAATAACGCAAAATAAAGTAAAAAATTAGGACTGAGCAGCGAGTTCAGGGCACCGATCTTACAGTAAAATCATATAGATCCAACCCGACCGATAGCTAATTCATGCTTTCCCGCCAAAACTGTCTCTCTTTTTATCAGTGAGATGGCGCCTCGACACCGCTCGAGGCGCGTGCTCTGCTCTGATTGGTCGTTACGTAGAAAGTCATATTAGAATTATTAATAATTCTAATAAATCAAATTAAGAATTTTAAGTGTGACAAATCAATTTAACTCGTCGAGTACCGGTTTTATAGACACAATTAAAGAACAATAGGTCGCGGTCACCGGTGACCGCTTGGTGTTTGACAGTTTAAATTAATTTAGGCATTTTAAAAAGTGAATATAATCAAACAAAAATTAATGTGCGTTATGCAATGCAATTCCCAGCTTCCTCTGACCTATATAATTCACACAGTTCAATTTTTTCTCTGTTATTAAATATAGCCTGTTCATCATCGATAATGTAGGATTCCAACGGTACAAGAATGTTTGAAATCGGTCCGGTAGTTGCGGAGGAGATGCCATTCATTCAAACAAACAAACAAAAAGTCAAATCTTTCCTCTTCCTACTATTAGTGTAGAAAATCAATTGCTGTTCGTTAGTCTCGCTAAAACTCGACAATGGCTAAATTGATTTAGCAAATTTTAGTCTTGAACTATTTGTGGAAGTCCAGGGATCTTTAAAAGGTGAGAAAATATTTTTTGAGGCGGTACGAAGTTTGGTAGGTCAGCTAGTAATCCTTACTATACTATATCTACTATATAAAAATAAGTCGGGTTTTCCTTCCTGACGCTATAACTCCAGAACGCACGAACCGATTTCCACGGTTTTGCATTCGTTGGAAAGGTCTCGGGCTCCGTGAGGTTTGTAGAAAATTCAGGAATAGCCATCTGGTGGCGAAACGGAGTTCGCCGGGTTTGCTAGTATACTATATATATAACTATACTATATGCTATACAATATACTGTACTCTATATTATATGATATTATATTATATTACATATTATAAATCTGAAAGTGAGTTTGTTTGTTTGTTTGTTTGTTCTGGTTTCACGCCGTAACTACTAAACCGATTGCTTTGAAATTTTGCACACGTAAAGTTAGAAGTCCAGATTAAATCATAGGGTACTTCTTATCCTGGAAAAATGTGATATTTCCGAAGGAAAGGCTGTACCGCGGCAGAACTTCTCATTCCTACGGAAAAATCTAAAAAGCGCGATATAACCGAATTCCACGCGAGCAAACAGCTATTTGTTTGTTTGCCTGTCTTAAACGGCAAAACGAAGGTACTTAACGTGATTTTTTAACTGAAGGTAGTTGAAGGGATGGATAGTCACATAGGCTTCTTTTTATATTTTTGTGACGCGAGCGAAGCCGCGGGTAAAAGCTAGTGAGATAATAATTTTTATAGTCATCGAGCGACTACTCGAGTATATAAGTGACATAGTAATAGAGTGTGCGCACGCAGTACATTGCAACCTTGTTATAGAAGCAACAAGTTCCCGGTCACGATAGCGATGCGTTCCGTCAGTGTCGTGTTGATTCTCGTAGTGGTCGCAATGGCGAGCTCGGCACCCTCTGACAGTCCTCCCAAAAAGGAGCATTACGACGTAGAAAAGGCTGATGAACTCTTCGAACAATACATAAAGGACTACCAAAAGGAGTACGAGGACGAAAACGACAAACAAATGCATTTCAAAGCGTTTGTCGAGAGCTTAAAGAAGATCAATAAGTTGAACGCGGAGAGCACAAGCGCCACTTTCGGTATTAACCAGTTCACCGACTATACCGAGAAAGAAAGGAAAAATATATTTGGTTTAAGATGTGAGTAGCTATGTTATAATTACCTTAGAGTTTTGGTCGCTGCCGTGTGTTTATAATATATTAAGCACGAGGTCGAATCATGTCGCTTTAATTAAACCGACTAGGTATTTTTATAACTTCCAATTCGAAAGATAGAAGTGAACTCGATCGTGGTCGCCGGGGCGAAAGTTCGAATTGGCAGTTACAGAATAGCCTAGTAGAAAGGCGTTTTGACCGACAAAATATGTCAGTCTTTTATTTATTTTTTGTTTTTTTTTTTATAGCATAAGCCGGTAAACGAGCAGACGGATGACCTGATGGTAAACAATCGGCGCCACCCATGGACACTCGAAACTCCAAAGCGTTACAAGTGCGTTACCGGCCTTTTGGGAATTGGGAATTTGAGGATTGTGGAGGATGCGGGGATTCGGGAGACGGGAACTAGGGATAATTGGGCCTCCGGTAAGGTTACCGGAGGCGGTATATTTGAGTGAGGTCACTCACACGACGAAACACAACGCAAGCGTTGTTTCACGTCGGTTTTCAGTAAGGTCGTGGTATCACTCCGGTCGAGCCGGCCCATTCGTGCCAAAGCATGGCTCTCCCACACTTAAATATATTCGTGACTTAAATACATCTCTAGGTGTTATCATTCTGTAAGTCAGTCCCATAGTGAAGCTATTTGCTCGTTCCAAAGTGTAGATTCCCATGGAGAAGAACGAGCCAGAAACTCCATAGATTACTCTTTTTCAATCGGGTTCACAATACAATTCTTGGTTAAATTAGTGTTTGGTTTCAAAAGTTAATTGTTATTCATTAATTTTAACCCGTCGTGTGTCTAAAGGAGGATCCACGCGAGACACAATGTATTTTCTATTGTCTCATATCGGTGCATTCAAGCGGTTAATGCATATTTATGCCGCCGAATGTAGTTGCAGATATAAAATGACTAAATATGTTTTTTCTTTTCAGCGTCAAAGCAGTTAACGAAGTAGGTACCTACATGAAGAAAACAAAAAAATCTTTCAAGAAAACTTTTACTTTATACTTATATTTTTAAAATAAATGTAGTTTCTGTCTATAACACATTTTCATTAAAAGTTTTTCCATAAAATATATTTATTTGAGGGTCTCAATGACATTAGACCAGTATCTACTAGTAGGTGATATTTTATATTTATTATCAACTTTATACAACAAGCGTGTAGAGGTGGAAAAGTTTTTATTTAACTTGATGTAAGGTAGGTAGGTGATATAAGTCCACAACGTAAAAGTAAAAAGTCGCCTTTGTGCACCTGGGTGAATTAAATTGACAAGTGAACAAAGGAGACTACTTGAGTCAACTCAATTCACCTAGGTGATGTCACCTGGGTGAAATAATTCCCAGGTGAATTGAGGACTCCAAAAAGTCTACTTTGTTCACCTAGGTGAAATCACCCAGGTGAACAAAGTGGAATAAACCTAATGCCTTAGGCATTGTCTCCCAGTCAACCTTTAAGCAGTGCAGAGATGAAAGTAGCAAGTGATTTAAACCTTTATAAATAGCCATTGTACCAGTATAATAAATAACAAGTCTCACAATCATAATATTCAATAAACACTATACATATATGTAGGTAAATTTGAAAACTTATACATACTTACATATAAAAATAATTATGTATACAATATTAAAGTATTATATGATATAAATAATAAATATATATATAATAGATAATACAAAATATTAAATTAAAAGAGATTTAGGTTTGAAATAAATCTACCAATTGTTGAAGAAGATGCTCCCGAATATTAAAAGCTAAGCGACTGGACGCCGTCCTGAAATCCGTGGGTAGTGCATTCCACAGATTAACAGATTGTATGAAGAAAGAAGAATGAACAAAATCAGCGCGATGACTGACACGCTGTAGATGGCGATTGTTGGAAGAGCGAAGATATTTACTGTGATTTGCACTGGTGTGTTGAAAATAGGTGGATAGTAGATAGGAGAAAAAGGGGATTCAAAAAGAGAGAATAAAGTAGTTAAAGCCTTTTGCTCCCTACGTTGGCGTATAGATAACCACTTTAGTTACAAGCGCTGTGCAGAAACATCGTTAATATTGGTCACTATGTTTTCCCAGTAAAGTCGAAAATCCTTTAAATGTGTTTTTGATATGCTGCTGGCTAAACCTCGATCGACTGTGGTATGTTATCCAAATTATTTATGACAAAACACGGTTTTGTGGTGATCAACCCTTGATTTAAATGGTTGGCTTTCAAATATGTAGATATCGTCACTAAATGGGGTTTAAATATACCTCTAGATATTAGATCCATTAGTTTAGTCATATTTCTTTTTAATGGAATGACAATGTTTTAGCTTACAAATTACACCCTAAGACTTGCAAATTTGGGTTCGCTGCCATTGCAGCGGTAATTCCCCTCTTTGAGGAGTGGCTTGGGAGACGCTACGGCGTCCTCACCTACCACCTGACGCAGGTCCTCACCGGGCATAGAAGTTTCGGGAGGTACCTGTGTCTGATGGGGAGGGGAGGAAACGCCCGGGTGTCATCACTGCGAGGACCGCCCTGAGGACACGGTGGAACACACTGTAGCGGAATTCCCTGCATGGGCTGATAACCGCCGATTGACGATGGCGATCTCTAGCGTCCGGGCCTATTGCAGGTCATGATACGGAGCGAGGGGGACTAGGATGCCGTCTCCTCCTTTTGCGAAGCAGTTATGCTAGCTAAGGAGGAGGCGGGATGCGTGAGGCAGCGAAGCGCTGCCTCCTCGCAACCCAGTCATCGCGAAGGAAACACCGGGCGTCGGGGATCGCGAGACGATCTCCGGCCACCGTAAGCGCGGGCCTGCTAACGACGAGCATGGGTCCGACCAGAAACAGACCCGAGTGTACGGCGCGTCGCGTTCTGCGCGCGCCTCAAAGAGCCATGAGACTCCACGGGCCCAACAGGGCTGATGTCGATTCGGAGTCGCGAAGAACCTAACGGGTTACCGGGGCTCCGGCTCGACGTGCAGGAGAAGGAACGGGGTGGTTTTTAGTCAGTAAGAGTCTGACACACCCTCCCGCCTCACCTAGGCGGGAGCAGTCATTCGATGATTTTCCCCCCTTAAAAAAAAGTCTTGTGAATTAGCGATCACCAGACCAAAGGAGCGGTCAAGGACATTTAAAAACTTTTTGAAAATCGAATGCCTTCACCTAATCCAAGAATCGTCTATAACTTAATGGTACCTAGTACCTAATGTAAACAGCAATATAAGGTGCTTATTAGGGTTTTAATGAATAATTTCGTTTATTGCGTTTAAGCAAGATGCATATTGACCTATAGAAACGAAGAAAATTGGTACTAATTGTTTACAATTTATACAATACGGAACTGAATTCAATTGTATTTATTTTCGAAATAAGTTCTTTTGCTCTAATGTGAACTTCGACATCGATTTGGTAGGTATGTTACAGAATCACATGGTTCACCCTATTTTTTTTTAATTAACACACAGAGTATGAAACTTGCAACAGTTTGCTAATTAAATATAGCAGGCGCTGTTTTTTTTTTTTTTTTTTTTTTTAAGGGGGGAAAATCATCGAATGACTGCTCCCGCCTGGGTGAGGCGGAAGGGAGTGTCAGACTCTTACTGACTAAAAACCACCCCGTTCCTTCTCCTGCACGTCGAGCCGGAGCCCCGGTTACCCGTTAGGTTCTCCGCGACTCCGAATCGGCATCGGCCCTATTGGGCCCCATCTGTGGTGGTCTGATGGCTCTTTGAGGCGCGCGCGGAACGCGACGCGCCGTACGCTCGGGTCTGTTTCTGGTCGGACGGGGAGCCACCCATGCTCGCCGTCCGCAGGCCCGCGCTTACGGTGGCCGGAGATCGTCCCGCGATCCCCGACGCCCGGTGTGTCCTTCGCGATGACTGGGTTGCGAGGAGGCAGCGCTTCGCTGCCTCACGCGTCCCGCCTCCTCCTTAGCTAGCATGACTGCTTCGCAAAAGGAGGAGACGGCATCCCAGTCCCCCTCGCTCCGCATCATGGCCTGCACTAGGCCCGGACGCGAGAGGTCGCCATCGCCGATCACTTCCCTGAGGGCACGGCGGTGCTCAGCCCACGCAGGGCATTCTCCCACTGTGTGTTCCACCGTGTCCTCAGGGCGGTCCTCGCAGTGATGACACCCGGGCGTTTCCTCCCGCCCCATCAGACACAGGTACCTCCCGAAACTTCCATGTCCGGTGAGGACCTGCGTCAGGCGGTAGGTGAGGACGCCGTAGCGTCTCTCAAGCCACTCCTCAAAGAGGGGACTTACCGCTGCAATGGCAGCGAGCCCAGCCCTCGGTTGCGACAGTCGTTGCTGCCATTCCGCCATGAGATCGCGCCGGAGCTCATCCCGCCACGCACTTATCTGGCGCGGCAGCGGAGTTTCGCCCCGGCGACGTGCCTCCGCGCGCATGTTATACACGCGCGCGAGCACCTTCGCCTCCAGATCCCACGGCGGTAATCCGGCAAGGAGGTTCGCCGACTCCCCAGAGATCGTGCGGTATCCGCGGATCATTCGGATCGCCATGACCCAGCAGGCGCTGTATGAAGTAAATATCCGTGTGATGTTTTATCGTTTACATTATTAATTCACAATAAGAGCTGTGTTTGAGTTGTAGAATGTATACTCAATTATCAATTAAGAAAAAAGGCCCCCACTTAGTTCTACACTTTGAATGACAACTCGGATCTTGAAATCTCTATATAATAATATATAATTCACACAGTTCGCTTTTTTATCTGTCTGTCTGTAACTTTATATTCGTTCACCTGATTGGCCGCAAACACGCCCGATTTAATTTATACGCTTAACCACAACCAAAAAACAAACCAAATAAAACCGTTTAAAAAAACAAAAGGTTGTGGTCACTAACGTCATCTATGAGATAATAATTTAGTCATTGAGCGACTACTCGAGTATATAAGTGACATAGTAATCGAGTGTGCGCACGCAGTACATTGCAACCTTGTTATAGAAGCAACAAGTTCCCGGTCACGATAGCGATGCGTTCCGTCAGTGTCGTGTTGATTCTCGTAGTGGTCGCAATGGCGAGCTCGGCACCCTCTGACAGTCCTCCCAAAAAGGAGCATTACGACGTAGAAAAGGCTGATGAACTCTTCGAACAATACATAAAGGACTACCAAAAGGAGTACGAGGACGAAAACGACAAACAAATGCATTTCAAAGCGTTTGTCGAGAGCTTAAAGAAGATCAATAAGTTGAACGCGGAGAGCACAAGCGCCACTTTCGGTATTAACCAGTTCACCGACTATACCGAGAAAGAAAGGAAAAATATATTTGGTTTAAGATGTGAGTAGCTATGTTATAATTACCTTAGAGTTTTGGTCGCTGCCGTGTGTTTATAATATATTAAGCACGAGTTCGAATCATGTCGCTTTAATTAGACCGACTAGGCATTTTTATAACTTCCAATTCGAAAGATAGAAGTGAACTCGATCGTGGTCGCCGGGTTGAAAGTTTGAATTGGCAGTTACAAAATAGCCTAGTAGGAAGGCGTTTTGACCGACAAAATAAGTCAGTCTTTTTTTTTTTTTTGTTTTTTTTTTTTATAGCATAAGCCGGTAAACGAGCAGACAGATGACCTGATGGTAAACAATCGACGCCACCCATGGACACTCGAAACTCCAAGGCGTTACAAGTGCGTTACCGGCCATTTGGGAATTGGGAATTTGAGGATTGTGGAGGATGCGGGGATTCGGGAGACGGGAACGAGGGATAATTGGGCCTCCGGTAAGGTTACCGGAGGCGGTATATTTGAGTGAGGTCACTCACACGACGAAACACAACGCAAGCGTTGTTTCACGTCGGTTTTCAGTAAAGTCGTGGTATCACTCCGGTCGAGCCGGCCCATTCGTGCCAAAGCATGGCTCTCCCACACTTAAATATATCCGTGACTTAAATACATCTCTAGGTGTTATCATTCTGTAAGTCAGTCCTATAGTGAAGCTATTTGCTCGTTCCAAAGTGTAGATTCCCATGGAGAAGAACGAGCCAGAAACTCCATAGGTTACTCTTTTTCAATCGGGTTCACAATACAATTCTTGGTTAAATTAGTGTTTAGTTTCAAAATGTACGGGACAACTACAAATGATACGATGATATAGTGATAATATAACTTTAATGATAGTTACATGATACAAATGAGTAACCGCGGCGAGAATCGAACGCGAACTGAAGTAAAGTGCGCTCGCGGTACAAAGTACTTATTCTACAATATTCCAATAATTGTACGGGTGGACCGTACATGCTCCCAGGCACGAGAGACTAAGATAAAAAATCAAAAAATAACATACGTAAATGTAAGAATTTAAAAAGACAATGATAATAATAGAGAGATAATTGGTTGACACAAAATTAAATTCTATAAAAGTGTTATTTATTTTAACTTAAAACAGATTCACGTAACATAGGCGATGTAGCCCTGTTTTGTTTACACGCACTTGAAATTGCACTGAGCTCAATATCACCGGGTCCCGATAGCTCATTTACACTAATTACACTAGCACTCTGAAGCTGCTGACGAGGCGAGCGCGCGGGCAGAGCCACGCTGCGCACACGCCGAAGACGCCGCCACACGTGCACGGCTCCTGCCGCACACAGGGCGAACGCCAATAAGTATATCACCGTGTAATGATGCAAGTCGTGATATGAGAACCCGTCGTTATAATCTTCATCAATGCTCGTTGAATCTTTCATCTGACTCAACTGATCGTGGACTTTCTTTACTAGACCTTGGGTCTCGATGTGGGTATGCTCAGACTGTTCATTAATTGCACCAATAGGTATTGATAAATTGATTATATTGTTGATGGGTGGGATATCTATTCTCAGAACGTCTGCCGTAGTCTTCAAAGTATTGGATAGTAGTTTATGTGAATAAACTGTGTAAGTATCGCCTTTGATGACGCATCCATTTCCGAGCATGATAACGCCGGCCTTAGTTAATTGTTCGGCCGTAACTTGATATTCGCACATGATTCTTATGGAGCACAGTCCGCAACAAAAATAGAGATATGTATTTATTTTATTAAGTTCTGTCCAATGATTTGTGCAGATAGTAGATGCAGTCCTGCAACGATTAGATTTATTTTCTCTAATGCAGAGGTTTTCATCTGACCTCATTTGATGAACTGGACCCTTTAAAGGGCAGATGTACGTTTCTGTGTCATAAAACATACAGGTCTGGACTTCGTTTTCCGTCATTGGAATATATGCATCCTTCTGTAAATTAATTGCGAGAATATCTGCTATGGGAATGATACTGATCATTTTACTTTCAACTTGCTGTGGTATTGTTATGATCTTGTAGATGTCATAGCTGTCTCTGCTTACTAAGGGTATTTTTACTTCGAAGATTATTAGCTGCTGCGTAATTCTTGCTTTAGTCTTTAATAAATGATACAATTTAGATAAATCCGACTGAATATTATCTATTGGAAGAGTCAATTCTGTTGCTAACTGTCCTGTTATGATATTAAGTTCATCCGTCAGCTGTTCAGGTGTTAAAAGGTGAATATTGAAACCTGTATGGTGTAGGTTCATAATAGTATCCACGATGTTTTCTTGGATTGTTTTTAAGTTTATTAGAATGCTGTTAGCAACGATGGAAGAAATACTGAAACTGTTAGAAATTAGTGATTCTTGAACTCCTCCCTGAATTGTGTTAAATCCCTTCTCTAAGCTGATCAGGTGCTGATTGAAAACCTTGTGATGTCTATCCATCTCATTTTCAACTCTTTTGATGATGTTGTTCTCTGATTCAACAATGGATGTGTTATTTTTCCATAAAGAAGTCAAATGCTTTTGGTTACGCTTGATTTGATGTATATCTCGGGCATATTGCTGAGCAAACTCGTCGTCTAGGACACCAAACAAGCTTCGCGCTACGCTTCCTATAGGATTGATAAGACCGCGCTTACGTCGGATATTCTCCGTGAATTGCTGACCAAACAACATGCTATTGTAATGGTCAAGTTCATTCTTACTGTGACGTAGTTGAATGAGTATTGCGTCACATTGTGATATGTTTGTTGTATTAGCACATATATTGCCCAGATGATCAACGTATTTTTTAAGCAGAACAAAGCCTTGCCAATAGGGATTCATATCATAGTAAACAATTAATTTCCACTCGTCTCGTTCGAGGCGCATGTTGGAGATCTTATCGAAATAAATGCTCTGATTGCTATTCAAAGGTGCTGTTTTATAATCACAACTAGATGGTGTTATGATTAACATTAAAAACATGAGAGCAATGTAAATAAAGTTGCTGATTTTGCCCCTACGACGACGTCTCGATTTATTTCTCAATGATTCATTTTTATTAGAATCTGACGGTTGTTTGTTTTGCTGTGTTGTAATATTATTTTGCTCTGAATTGTTTTCAGGTTGATTTAGTTCGTGTACTGGTAACAAGGAAAGTTTTATGATTGGCCTCTTGATTACCCCATTTTTGGTTTTTACAGATACCACACGAACGCAGCCGTCCTTGCCGGGGTGAAGCTTTATGATTCTGCCAGTGGCCCACTTTCCGGGTGGTAAATTAGCGTCATGGATAATAACAATGTCGTTGATCTTTAAGTTTGATTGTGGCTGCCGCCACTTGCTGCGTGCTGATAACTGAGATAGATACTCGGCTTTCCACCGTTTCCAGATATCATCGTAAATTTTCTGAGTAAGCTGCCATCTTGTTCTGGGGTCTTTTTCAGTTTCAATTATAGTTAGTGTGGGACCACTCGATAAAAAATGTGACGGAGTAAGGTAATCCATATCCTCAGGGTCTTCGCTGATAGCGCAAAGTGGTCTCGAGTTGAGACAAGCTTCTAACTGTGCTAGTAATGTTGAGTACTCCTCATACGTTAGTTTCTGCTCGCCTACAACTCTCTTGATGTGGTGTTTGAGACTTTTGACAGCTGCTTCCCAAAGTCCCCCTGCATTTGGCCAGGAAGGTGCATTAAAGTGCCATTGTATTTGCATATCTGTGATAGCTGTGTAGAACTCCTCGTCAAGAGTGTTTCGCAAATTGATGTATTCTTCACGTAATACTTTGTTGGTTCCGACAAAATTTGTCCCATTATCGCTGTAAATATGATTTGGAGCCCCTCTCCGGGCTGCCATCCTCCTTAGTGCTGCTAGGAAGGCGGCTGAGCTCAAGTCGGATACGAGTTCTAGATGCACAGCCTTGGTCGCCATACACACAAATACAGCTATATAACCTTTGGTCGTCTTAATGCCACGTCCTTTGTTCGCCTTAATGTCCACATAGCCGGTGAAGTCGACACCAGTATGATTGAAAGGTCGCGATGGATTACTTCGTGATTCAGGTAAGTCTCCCATTAATTGTGTATTTTTTACAGGATTATGCCTTCTGCATGTGACGCATTTATGTAAGCGTTTTTTGATAGCACGATTTCCACCAATAATCCAAAATTCCTGTCTTAACCACGCCAGTGTTAGACGAGCTCCACCATGGAAAGTCATCTGATGACCTTGATCTATCAATCGATCGGTAAGTAGTCCGCTATGAGGAATGATAATTGGATGTTGCATGTTTTTGTTTATCCTTGCGTTGCTTATCCTGCCACCAACCCTCAGTAATCCGTTTTCGTCTAGATACGGATTTAGGTTAAGTAGCTTGCTTTTAGAGTCTATATTGCTATGCTTTTGAAGGCTTTTGATCTCCTCCATAAACTCATGTTGCTGTACATGCTTGATTAAAATATGCTTTGCCTTTCTCAGCTCAGTGATTGTAAGAAAACACGGTTTCGAATGCATTTTTGTTGATATACGTAACATCCATGCAAGTACACGCGTCGATTTTGCAAAGCTACCATACTTGCTCAGTATCGAGTCGATGACGTCGTCTGAATGTAGTTGCGAGGAGGAAACTTGTTGTTCTATCTCTCTCATGTCTTGAGATGTGATGTAAACACAACTTTCCTTTGACTGATTTTCGTCGAATGAAGGTAACCATGAGGGTCCATGCCACCATAGACTATGGTGTTTAAGTTGTTCTACAGACATGCCCCTACTAGCACAATCAGCTGGATTATCTGCGGACCTAACATAGCGCCAGCTTTTCGCTGGTATGATTTCGGTCACTTGCTTGACTCTATTGGCAACGAAACGCTTCCAGCGACTTGGTTCACCTTGAAGCCATCCCAGTACGGCTGTTGAGTCTGACCACGCGAAGATTTTGATATCATGTCCAACTAGACATTGTGTAACTTTGTGTACTAACTTTGATAATAGTACGGCCGCATTTAATTCTAGTCTTGGTAATGTGATACCTTTGTTCATGGGAACAAGCCGCGTCTTTCCAGTTACTAATATTACTGATGAGTTATAATTGTCATCTTTATTTTCGTATGTGCAGTAAATCACACAAGCGAATGCTTTTATTGATGCGTCACAGAACCCGTAAAGCTTGATAGTTCCATCTTTGTGACTCTGCAGCCATCTTGGCAGCTTAAATGAATTGATGTGTTGTAACTCTTGTGTCATATGTGACCATTGCTGAACAATCTCTTCGGGAACTGGATCATCCCATTGAAGTTGTAGCTGCCAGACAGCTTGGAATAGTAGCTTAAGTTTGGTTGTAATCGGTGACAGCCACCCCAAAGGGTCGAAGATTTTCGATATTTCTGATAAGAGAGATCTCTTCGTCAGCCCTTTTGAGGTTGACACGTTGATTTTGCTTTGGAAAGTGAATTGGTCTTCAGTAGGGTGCCAACTCAATCCAAGAGTCTTGGTTGACTCTTGGTGACGAAAGTCAAATACTTGATCTGTTTTACTGACGTCTTTGAGTAACTCTACCTTATTTGATGACCATTTGCGGAGATTGAAACCTCCGGATTTCAGAAGATCCATTAAATCTTTCTGCAACTGTTTTGCTTCTTGCAGTGTATAATGACCACTTAAAAGATCGTCCATGTAAAAATCTTCTTCTAAAACCCTTGCTGCTGTTGGGTACTTGTGGCACTCATCATTTGCTAACTGCTTTAGCGTCATCATTGCTAAAAATGGCGCTGCTTTTGTACCGTATGTGACGGTCATAAGTTCATATTCACGAGGAACTTGGTCTGGAGAGTCACGCCATATGATTTTTTGATACTTCACATCATCCTTGTGGCAGAATATCTGCCGAAACATTTTTTCTAGATCGGCAGTGTATGCAAATTCGTATTGCCTCCATTTTAAAATCAATGAAAACAAATCTCTTTGTAAATTGGGTCCACTATACATTAAATCGTTTAAACTCAGCCCCGACGACGTTTTCGCTGACGCGTTGAAAACGACTCGCAACGCCGTTGTCAAGGAATCTGATTTCATTACACAATGATGTGGTAAATAGTAACTCAGTTGATTTTTGTTAGAAATACTTTTCTGCATATGACCTAATTCAATGTATTCGTGCATGAATGATTTATAGGATGTTTGAATATTAATGTCTTTCGATAATTTCTTTTCTAGTTGATAAAATTGTCCGATAGCCTTGTGTTTAGACTCTCCTAATTTTTCCTCAATATTTGCTTTAAGAGGTAATCTGACAACGTAACGACCATCTTCTCTTCTTGATGTGTCTGCTTTATAACGCTGTATGCACTGATAATCTTCTTCTGACAACTTGTTCTGATTCTCATCTGCAACATCTTCGATTGCCCAAAATCTCTGGATCTCATCTATGTTATTTAGGACAACACTGCATTGGTACGATATAATGTTCCCACTTAGAATCCAGCCAAGGCGAGTCTGCTGCGCCACTACCTGTGAATCGCCCTCCTTGATGATACCATTCATGATGATTGATGAGTATACATCAGCTCCTAGTAGTATGTCGACTGGACGGCTAAGGTTATATTCGGGATCCGCTAAATTAACATGCTCTATACAAGCCCATGATGGCTTTTGGAATGATCGATTGGGTAGATTGTGAAGCAGAGTATTCATGATAATTACCTCAGTGGAAAAAGTGAAATCTGTATACACTGCCGATACTTCAATTTGTATAACACCCTTGCAATTATTTTCCTTGGCACCAACTCCCATTACAACCCCCTTGCATGCTCGTCGAGGAAGTCCCAATCTTTGTGCAGCTTTTTCCTTTATTAATGATACTTGGGATCCTTGATCTATTAGAGCACGCATAGGATAATAAAGCGCAAGGCCCCGCCAATTCGGTGGCTCGAAGGACCAAAAAGTTGTACGGGACAACTACAAATGATACGATGATATAGTGATAATATAACTTTAATGATAGTTACATGATACAAATGAGTAACCGCGGCGAGAATCGAACGCGAACTGAAGTAAAGTGCGCTCGCGGTACAAAGTACTTATTCTACAATATTCCAATAATTGTACGGGTGGACCGTACACAAAAGTTAATTGTTATTCATTAATGTTAATGCATATTTATGCCGCCGAATGTTGTTGCAGATATAAAATGACTAAATATGTTTTTTTCTTTTCAGCGTCAAAGCAGTTAACGAAGTAGGTACCTACATGAAGAAAACAAAAAAATCTTTCAAGAAAACTTTTACTTTATACTTATATTTTTAAAATAAATATAGTTTCTGTTTATAACACATTTTCATTAATTTTTTTCCAAAAAATATATTTCTTTGATGGTCTCAATGAGATTAGACCAGTATCTACTAGTAGGTGATATTTTATATTTATTATAAACTTTATACAACAAGCGTGTACAGGTGGACTTAATGCCTTAGGCATTGTCTCCCAGTCAACCTTTAAGCAATGCAGAGATGAAAGTAGCAAGCGATTTAAACCTTTATAAATAGCCATTGTACCAGTATAATAAATAACAAGTCTCACAATCATAATATTCAATAAACACTATACATATATGTAGGTAAAGAAAACTTATACTTACTTACATATAAAAATAATTATGTATACAATATTAAAGTAATCATATAAATAATAAATATATATATAATAGATAATACAAAATATTAAATTAAAAGAGATTTAGGTTTGAAATAAATCTACCAATTGTTGAAGAAGATGCTCCCGAACTTTAATCTTAAAAGCTAAGCGACTGGACGCCGCCGTCCTGAAATCCGTGGGTAGTGCATTTCACAGTTTAACAGATTGTATGAAGAAAGAAGAATGAACAAAATCAGTGCGATGACTGACAGGCTGTAGATGGCGATTGTTGGAAGAGCGAAGGTATATTGAAAATAGGTGGATAGATAGTTAGGAGAAAAAGGGGATTCAAAAAGAGAGAATAAAGTAGTTAAAGCCTTTTGCTCCCTACGTTGGCGTATAGATAACCACTTTAATTACAAGCGCTGTGCAGAAACATCGTAAATATTGGTCACTATGTTTTCGCAGTAAAGTCGAAAATCCTTTAAATGTGTTTTTGATATGCTAAACTAGGCTAAACCTCGATCGACTGTGGTATGTTATCCAAATTATTTATGACAAAACACGGATTTGTGGTGATCAACCCTTGATTTAAATGGTTGGCTTTTAAATATGTAGATATCGTCACTAAATGGGGTTTAAATATACCTCTAGATATTAGATCCATTAGTTTAGTCATATTTCTTTTTAATGGAATGACAATGTTTTAGCTTACAAAATACACCCTAAGACTTGCAAATTTGGGTTCGCTGCCATTGCAGCGGTAATTCCCCTCTTTGAGGAGTGGCTTGGTAGACGCTACGGCGTCCTCACCTACCGCCTGACGCAGGTCCTCACCGGGCATAGAAGTTTCGGGAGGTACCTGTGTCTGATGGGGAGGGGAGGAAACGCTCGGGTGTCATCACTGCGAGGACCGCCCTGAGGACACGGTGGAACACACTGTAGCGGAATTCCCTGCATGGGCTGATAACCGCCGATTGACGATGGCGATCTCTAGCGTCCGGGCCTATTGCAGGTCATGATACGGAGCGAGGGGGACTAGGATGCCGTCTCCTCCTTTTGCGAAGCAGTTATGCTAGCTAAGGAGGAGGCGGGATGCGTGAGGCAGCGAAGCGCTGCCTCCTCGCAACCCAGTCATCGCGAAGGAAACACCGGGCGTCGGGAATCGCGAGACGATTTCCGGCCACCGTAAGCGCGGGCCTGCTAACGACGAGCATGGGTCCGACCAGAAACAGACCCGAGTGTACGGCGCGTCGCGTTCTGCGCGCGCCTCAAAGAGCCATGAGACTCCACGGGCCCAACAGGGCTGATGTCGATTCGGAGTCGCGAAGAACCTAACGGGTTACCGGGGCTCCGGCTCGACATGCAGGAGAAGGAACGGGGTGGTTTTTAGTCAGTAAGAGTCTGACACACCCTCCCGCCTCACCTAGGCGGGAGCAGTCATTCGATGATTTTCCCCCCTTAAAGAAAAAGTCTTGTGAATTAGCGATCACCAGACCAAAGGAGCGGCCAAGGACATTTAAAAACTTTTTGAAAGTCGAATGCCTTCACCTAATCCAAGAATCGTCTATAACTTAATGGTACCTAGTACCTAATGTAAACAGCAATATAAGGTGTTTATTAGGGTTTTAATGAATAATTTCGTTTATTGTGTTTAAGCAAGATGCATATTGACCTATAGAAACGAAGAAAATTGGTACTAATTGTAATTTATACAATTTATACAATACGGAACTGAATTCAAGTGTGTTTATTTTCGAAATAAGTTCTTTTGCTCTAATGTGAACTTCGACATCGATTTGGTAGGTATGTTACAGAATCACATGGTTCACCCTATTTTTTTTAATTAACACGCAGAGTATGAAACTTGCAGCAGTTTGCTAATTAAATATAGCAGGCGCTGTATGAAGTAAATATCCGTGTGATGTTTTATCGTTTACATTATTAATTCACAATAAGAGCTGTGTTTGAGTTGTAGAATGTATACTCAATTATCAATTAAGAACAAAGGTCCCCCACTTAGTTCTACACTTCGAATGACAACTCGGATCTTGAAATCTCTATATATATAATTCACATAGTTCGCTTTTTTATCTGTCTGTCTGTAACTTTATATTCGTTCATCTGATTTGCCGCAAACACGCCCGATTTAATTTATACGCTTAACCACAACCAAAAAACAAACCAAATAAAACCGTTTAAAAAAACAAAAGGTTGTGGTCACTAACGTCATCTATGAGATAATAATTTAGTCATCGAGCGACTACTCGAGTATATAAGTGACATAGTTATAGAGTGTGCGCACGCAGTACATTGCAACCTTGTTATAGAAGCACAAGTTCCCGGTCACGATAGCGATGCGTTCCGTCAGTGTCGTGTTGATTCTCGTAGTGGTCGCAATGGCGAGCTCGGCGCCCTCTGACAGTCCTCCCCAAAAGGAGCATTACGACGTAGAAAAGGCTGATGAACTCTTCGAAAAATACATAAAGGACTACCAAAAGGAGTACAAGGACGAAAACGACAAACAAGTGCATTTCAAAGCGTTTGTCGAGAGCCTGAAGAAGATCAATAAGTTGAACGAGGAAAGCACAAGCGCCACTTTCGGTATTAACCAGTTCACCGACTATACCGAGAAAGAAAGGAAAAATATGTTTGGTTTAAGATGTGAGTAGCTATGTTATAATTACCTTAGAGTTTTGGTCGCTGCCGTGTGTTTATAATATATTAAGCACGAGTTCGAATCTTGTCGCTTTAATTAGACCGACTAGGCAATTTTATAACTTCCAATTCGAAAGATAGAAGTGAACTCGATCGTGGTCGCCGGGTTGAAAGTTTGAATTGGCAGTTACAGAATAGCCTAGTAGGAAGGTGTTTTGACCAACAAAATAAGTCAGTCTATCATTCTGTAAGTTAGTCCCATAGTGAAGCTATTTGCTCGTTCCAAAGTGTAGAATCCCATGGAGAAGAACGAGCCAGAAACTCCATAGGTTACTCTTTTTCAATCGGGTTCACAATACAATTCTTAGTTAAATTACTATTTAATGTGTTTGGTTTCAAAAGTTAATTGTTATTCATTAATGTTAATGCATATTTATGCCGCCGAATGTAGTTGCAGATATAAAATTACTAAATATGTTTTTTTCTTTTCAGTGCCAGAGCAGTAAATGAAGTAGGTACCTACATGAAGAAACCAAAAGCCTTTCAAGAAAATTTATACTTTATATTTATATGTTTAAAATAAATGTAGTTTTTTTTTATAACCAATTTTCGTTCATATTTACCCGAATTTTATATTTCTTTGAGGGTTTCAATGGCATGCTTGTAGCTTACATTATTAATTCACAATGAGGGCTCACGTATTAGAGTTGGGGAAAGTATGTCCAATTATTTATTTTTCAGTATATTTATGAATTACCTAGTCAAACATTTTGAATTAGGAAATTCTCAAATGCGCAAATAGGACCTAAGGCTACACTACTATATGGCGCAGTAGTCAATATAGTCAACAGCCAGAAGATGTCCAATACTGAACAAAGGTCCCCCACTTAGTTCTACACCACGAATGATCACTCGCATCTTGAAATCTCTATATATATAATTCATACAGTTCCCTTTTTTCTCTCTTATTTAATATAACCTATGTTCATCGTATGTCATTTCGTAAGGGGGGAAAATCATCGAATGACCCGATGGCTCCCGCCTGGGTGAGGCGGGAGGGAGTGTCATACTCTTACTGACTAAAAACCACCCCGTTCCTTCACCTGCACGTCGAGCCGGAGCCCCGGTTACCCGATAGGTTCTCCGCGACTCCGAATCAGCAATGATCGATAGTGTAGGATTCCAACGGTAGAAGAATTTTTGAAATCGGTCCGGTATTTTCGGAGGAGATGCCATTCAAAAAAAGAAACAAAAAATCAAATCTTTCCTCTTTCTACTATTAGTGTAGAAAATCAATTGCTGTTCGTTAGTCTTGCTAAAACTCAAGAATGGTTAAACCACTATTTGTGGAAGTCCAGGGAAGGTTTAAAAGGTGAGAAAATATTTCTTGCGGCGGTATGAAGTTTGGTAGGTCAGCTAGTAATGAAAAATATAAAATGTTGCTAGTAATATGTAATTATACCTATTTATAGGTCATAGGTAATATTTAACCCTTTGAGTACCGACCGTCATTATAGACACAATTAAAGAACAATAGGTTGTGGTCATCGGTGTTCTCCTGGTGTTTGACAGTTTAAATGTAAAGTGTAAGTACTTATAAAATTACACACAATAATATTATAATGCAGATGGTTACGATGCGATTGTATAACTTGATACCTTAACTACTTGAAATTTATTTAGCAATACGGAGCCTACAACATTTTATTTAACTGTTATATTACTGGTCGCAGTACTAAAAATTATTTAATCTCATAAGATAACTTTATCAAACCTTGTTCAAGATTGAGATGCACACAGATACGGGCAACACCGAACGAACATTCGTTCATCTGATTGGCCGCACCCACGCCCAATTTAATTTATACGCTTTGCTGGTATCTGGTTGTGATCATTAACGTCATCTATGAGATAATAATTTAGTCATCGAGCGACTACTCGAGTATATAAGTGACATAGTAATCGAGTGTGAGCACGCAGTACATTGCAACTTTGTTATAGAAGAAACAAGTTCCCGGTCACGATAGCGATGCGTTCCGTCAGTGTCGTGTTGATTCTCGTAGTGGTCGCAATGGCGAGCTCGGCGCCCTCTGACAGTCCTCTCCAAAAGGAGCATTACGACGTAGAAAAGGCTGATGAACTCTTCGAAAAATACATAAAGGACTACCAAAAGGAGTACAAGGACGAAAATGACAAACAAGTGCATTTCAAAGCGTTTGTCGAGAGCTTGAAGAAGATCAATAAGTTGAACGAGGAGAGCACAAGCGCCACTTTCGGTCTTAACAAATTCGCC